CGGTTCGGGCGCCNCCCCCCCCTGCCCCCCCGCTGCCGCCGCCACTGCTGACACCTGTTTTGGCACCAGCTAGTGGGTATTCAAAGCCAAGAACAAACAAGGACATAAACAGACTAAAACTACCATACAAAGTATAAATTACTAACACATTTAAGCAGTGTATACGTAAAGCATCCTAATGTGAACATGGTCAACTTGCCTACCTTGCAACATTCTCATCTGCAATCTGGTCCCTCTTTTTCAGCTGTGTGTTGAGATTTTCCACCTCTTGTGTCTTACTTCTACAGACACAAAACAATAAAGAAGACAATCATGTTAACTTTGTAATCTGTCACCAAAGCTATAATTGTTGCAGTTGAAGAATGGAGAAATTTCATTTCTGGAGTGTTACTACATCAAAGTGAGACAAAAAATGGCTGACACCCGTACCTGACCAACTCCTTGTACTGAGCCAGTTCTGAAGTGATAGTTCTTGTTTTCTCTTCTATATTGTCTTGTTGTGTCTTCATGGCTGGAGGAAGAGAATCAGACTTACAATTAACAGACTGATCTTAACATCTAGTGTCAAAGCAATTCAAGTTACCAATCTAAACAGTATATTTGTCTTGTCAATCTTTATTCTATTTCATACCAACAAGACATTTTAAGATATCTTTTGAAGAGCATAAGCAGAATGTTTTAGAATAGACCTAGGCATGACTATAAATTGATACATTGTACAATGTATATTGGAAAATGGTTACCAAGTGTAAGTCTAAAGGAGTCCAGTAATGTTCCCTCTCCAGAGGAATGATATACCGGTAACCCAGAGTGTGGTCATACCTTCATGTTCCCTCTGCAGTTCACCAAACTTCTGCTTGAGGTCCTCGTTGAGTTGTTCTGCTCCCTGTAGCCTGCCAACCTCCCCCTGAGCCTTCTGGAGCTCCTGAGTTAGTCTGGACAACTCAGCTGACTCAGAGGACTTCTGTTGGGTCAGCTCTTCAATCTGTTTCTTCAGCTTCTCCATTTCTGGAAGTATACAATGTACAGTCATGTGATTTAAACCACACAATGCAAATATGAACTGTCACCAAGACAATAATAACTTTAAAATCAGCATAGATCAATTACAGCAAATCATGTCCACATTCCAAAATATCAATGTGAAGTGTACCCCTTGAAATTTGCACATTTGAAGTTTCTAGTTTGGCTCTGAGATCACCATAAGTCTATATGAATCAATAACAGCAAGTACTAATGATTACATCCCAAAACGTTTTTTTTTTACAAGAAAGAACACTGCCTTACCTTGCATCTCTACGACGCCCATATTCGTGAGAAGTTTGGTGATCTGTGTTGTCGAGTCTTGTACAACTTTGTCCCTCTGGTGCACAAATGTCTGTATGTTTTGTAGACATGCTCTCTGGTTCCGTACAGATGACAGGAGAGTAGGTAACCTTGTGTGGAGCTCTCCATTCTCATTCCTAGGAGCCAGCAAGCAAAAAAGTAAACAACATCATGCATCTGAAACTTTCTTTCTTGTTGTTTTCCTGCTTGAGTTGATAGGGAATTCAAAGTACATCATTGATTACTAGTACCTCAGCAAATTTCTGCACAGTTCTCTAAGACTAAGGGGTAAGACTTGCTATAAACCTATAACAGAATGATTTTTAACCAGCTTGCTCCATTTTCCTTTTTTAAGAAGTCTTAAGGACCAACCTATTGCATATTGTAGAAAAATACAAAACTCAGAGAATTGAGGCCTAACCTGAGTTTCTCTACCAGTGACACCTGTTCAGCTGCCTTTTCCTCGTTCTGTCTACACTGTTCCCTCAGTCTGTCCAGTTCTGCATCCTTCTGTTGTAGGTCTTGTGTCAGGGACGCAATGCTACAACAGGAGACAGGCAGAATGTGTCAAAGAACCAGGCTCAAAGAACATGTACATATAGGCAGACACACTGCAAAAGTTCTATGTAACCTCTTAAACAAATTAGACAGCATTAGTAGGCATCCTTCTATCACGAGAGATGATGGTAGCACTCTAGGTCTGGTGTTGTGGCTGTGTGCAGCGTCTAATGTGGCTAATCAGCCCTATCTTTGTATGGTAGTCCTAGCCACAGTTAGGACACAGGAAAGTTTAGATATTTTGTGGTATTACTATCCTATGATAGACAGTATTACTTACAAGTTCATTGATAAGAAGAGGGCCACTCCAAATACAATACAAAAGTGTATAAACTACAGAGTGACAGTATGTTGTACCTGGCCTCCTTTGCCCCCAGTCTGTGCTGCATGTCCTCGGCAATCTCCTGGAGTTTACTGTACTCATTACGATGTCTCTCATCCCGCTCCTCACAGTCTGTGTGCTGCTCTAGTTCCTCTTCCAAATACTTCACCTGTAAAAATATGTTGGAATATGTTTTACATGTTTACATCAACATGAAAGCATTACATTCACATGTAAAAATTGTACATTGTTTGGATTATGATGTCAAAGAGTTTCTCTTTACTAAAACTAAGAATGATTCATAGGGCACCTCACAATTTAACATTTTAGGAAGGAATGCAAGTTATGCAACACATTTGTTGTCAATATGATATCGATGTATGTACATGTAGTAGCAAAAAAACACACAAAAATTAGAGTGCAAGAAAACACTTGAAGCTCTAATAGAACAATCCCACAGAACATTTGTCAGACTTTAATACTCCTTACCTGATCCTCAAGTCTCTTGATCTCATGGTGGATCAAGTAGCTGACTCCACAGAACTTACAGATGGTGTCATCTCTCTCCATCAGCTGTAGCTCATCAGGCAGGGGGTGTTCTGGAACGTGCCTCTCCAGAATAGGCGACATGGCGACATGTCTGTTCCCCCTCTTTCCCCTAAAGCTGTTATTGTCTGGAGCACCGAGGTTGTCACTCTGGATAATGTAGGCTCCTTTTGGATCCGCCATCTTGGATTCAGTCACGGTTCAGGGCAGAACTATTAATATTTCCCTGGTGCAAAAAAACAAAAGTCTCTTCAGGTCAGCTCAATAACAAGACTCAAGTCAAGAGACCAACTTCAGAGTGGTTATATGGTGGAGTGGTGAGGATCAGCGTGCAGTGTAATGACTGGAACACAGTTTCAAGAGCTCTTATGGCATTGAAAGCTGACTTCAGGCAACAGGGCTTTGGCATACATGTAGGTGCTGACAACTGTCAAGCCAGCAGACAAGTCCACTTGCATACCAATAAATCTATGTTAAACAGTGAAATAGTTGCTTTCTTTATGGCATACAAGGAAAAACACTGACCATTTATGAAGTACATGTATATCATTAAGAGCTCAAGCTAAAATTGGGTACAGTACAGTAACTTACAGTACTACCTATTACTAAAGTGCATTGACACACTTGGTAGTTAACACACCACTATGTCACTCATCTGTCGCAGCGACAGGAGATTCCAACAACATGTCTCTAGATTAGAAGCAAGTACAATGTATTACATAATCCCTCTTGCAAGAGCAGCGATCAAAATCAGAGTGGCAGCATCTTGTCAACAGTACTCTGAATTAGTAAACGTCACATTTCCTGTTACAATCAAATTCAAACCATCAATATGATGAGAGCCTTTACAAAATCACTGACCTGTTTCATCCAGTCTCTAGAATTTGAACATCTATATCTAAAACGCTCCATCGTAACATTACAGTTGACTGTTTTTCAGTTGCTACCATCACAGTTGATTTTGACTTAGTTTTCCCCAACCAAACATCACACTGAGATAAAGTCAACACGACTGAATACCCCACGCTTGAAAAATGATATCCTAGAGTAAACCTCAAGGTTGTTACAACGTTTTTTCTGTCCAAACATATGTTTGTGTACTTGAAAACATAAGAAATTCCTTTTTTTCATGGGAAAACGCACTGTCTATTTTGCAAAAGGACGGGAATACACTGACGCAAATCAACCATAGGAAAGTTTGAAACGTAAGAAGCTAAAACACAATGATGTTTACAAATTGATTAAGATACATGTAACTTTAGAAAACTTGAAAAAAACACATTTTTTTAGCATGCCCTGCCAGGTCTTGCAATTCCAATGATACATTTTCGTACCGAGTTTCTTTATTCAACATAATCGTTAGCCTTGAAACCATGCTAACTGATACCGTAAGTACGTGAAATATGAGAAAACGGACTTATTTTGTGTTTACATGATGGAACAAAGTTACCGCTCATGTTGACATGTTTACAGTAAGCAACGATTCGAATAACTCTGCGATCACGCGAAATACAAGTTCCCCTGCAACATTCTTACACATACGGTACACTTACCACAGTACAGTTTGATTAGAATTATATGCAAGTACTTGACAACGATACATAATACCGGACGTGATTTCATTTCATCCCTATGACCCCCATTGCGTTTATACAATAGTAACTAACAGGTGTTAAACAATGTTGCGTTTATGGTTCAATTCTGAGCTATCAGAACTATTTAAAGAAGAGAAACAGGCAAATATACGTACCGTGAGACCTTAAGAGCCATAATAAGTTGGACGATCGTTCTCGGAAGCCCTAAATAAGGTGAGATTTGGAAAGAAGTGACCGCCTACACGTCTATGGCAACCGAATAGTTTACATCCGCCATGTTTAATGTGATGCCAGGGGGTCACTAGAGGTCAAGAAGAATGTAGCTTCATCTCATATTTCAATTATCGCTAACTGCAACTGGAACAAAATTTTCTATACTGAAACGGGTTTTGGTGTTTTTTATATCCTAGGAAATTTTATTTTTGATACTAGATATATAATTCAGCAGTCAAAGGTCAGATATTTGGCGGGAGTACAAAATTTTGTTACCAAGCCTGTGATTGGTTTTCACCATAAACAATCTGCTCGAATGACCAATGAAAGCGAGGATTACAATTTCGCCGAACAACATGGCCGACGGAGGAATTATTGTCTGGGGGATTAGGAACATAGCTTGATTTTTCGTCGAATTCTGTAGGTTTCGCATCATCTTCTGAAGTGTAAACAAAGTAGTAAAAGGAACAGGAGGTCCTGTGTGTTTGTATCCAGATTATTCCATAAACTGTCGTTTGTACGAGTAGATATTCGACCAGGAGTCGAAGATAAGACGGAGGAAGATTGACTGTCATCAAGATGCCCCCCAAGTCGAGACAGACTCAGAACCCCAACAGGCAGGCCTGGCAGTGGGCAGACACCACGGACCCCGCCAGGATCACACAGGACAACCTGGAGACAGCCTACAGGATCCGGCTGAAGGCTTGTCCAAGGGATGGGCGGTAAGGCCCGTAATTTCTTTACACTTCCTATGTGTCAACATTACAATGTATTTGGAGAGGCGTTCCTCTTGTTCCCGTTTCTCGAAAGTCCTGTCCCAAATCTGCTAAAACTAAAAAAAAAATTATGCACGACTGGCATAGAAAATATGGTATGCAATGTCAAGATGGCAATATATCATTAAACATTTTTTGTACTATTCAATTTTAGATCCTGCCACTTGAAAAGTTGTGTTTATATTCATATGATATATAATCATATTTTTCCGACCTTGGGCATTGTAAATTGTAAGAATGTTTGAGTAGTGCAAGTTGCACTGAGCATGTAAAACATGTATCAGCTGCAATCATATGACCATAAACTCTCCTTTCAAAATTAGGAGAAATAAAAAATAATCATCTACAACACTACTAATTAGCATAAATACAAACAAATCAAGTATGCGCATCACTGATTCTTTTTTCCCTTGTTGATCATGCGAGTGATGAACACAAATTATGATATGTTTCCTTTCCGTAGGAGAAACTGTAAGAATAATCCCAACTGCCTGGTGGGGCTGGGGGAGTCCCAGTGGCTCGGGGAGATTGACGATGAAGCCTTCCAAGAGATCGAGGATCCAAACAATGAGAGGAGGGCTGAGGTAATTATATATTATAACTGACTTACAAAGATTCAATACAGATTTATTGGAAACTGATGATGCTAAATTAATAATAAAAATTAATATGGAATGTGAAAACTGTATATGTACATGTTGTATATGGATAGTCCAATCACTTCCAATATAAAGTTACTTTAAGCACATACATATTTGTAGATTGCCAGCTTTTCCTGTAAATATCTTATTTTGAATTTAATGACACATGTTTGCAACTCCTAATTAGACCTCAGCCTTTCCTTCAAATTTGAGACCTTTTCAAGCATTTAATACAGAATTATGACAATTTATCTACAGCATTCAAAATACATATCCATGTGGCTGAGGAAAAATCTGTTTAGATACTTGAAATGTGTATTGGGTTGTTAAATGTTGAAGGTGTGAATGACAGACCCATCAGTGTTGGACAATCATTGTAATCTACATCTAAAAGGGTGCTGCATTGTATCATGAAGTGCCACATTTACATAATTGATCTGTTGTTGCCATTTTAACAGGGTTCCTTTGTTGGCCTGAAAAACCTTGGAGCTACATGTTATGTCAACACATTCCTGCAGGTATGGCCATTTATTGATTTCAATAACTGTTACAATAGCTGTTTCTGTGTCAACAGTTTTTGTATCCATTGTGGAAAAAAAGTAGGTTGTCAATTTATTAATTACTAATTTAGTGTCAAATGTTGCCTCTGGATGTCCTACTTGAATGAATCTGCTACATATATTTGTAGTAAAATATGCGTAAGAAGTTAGTTGATATGTCTTGAACAATTTTTAAAAATATTCTCCTTCTAGGTGTGGTTCCACAACCAAGAGTTCCGATCAGCCATGTACCAGTACCTGGAACCTGCTACACCAAAAGGTCCTCCCCCTTCCCCTAAGAAAAACTCACCTGTCAAGTCATCACCCCCGTCTCCACGGAAACAGACCAGTTCTGCACAGGGAGAGGATGTGGTATCATCTACTACAGGCTGTCCACAGGGTAGGGCAACTTAGCAGATCCTCCAACAAAAAACAGTTACTTATTATATATAAATAAGCAAATGGATTTTATTTTGGAAAGATCAGTGAAGGTTATAATTAGACATCCAGGTAATAAGATATGCCAAAAAAAACAGTTACTAGTATACTCAAGCTTCCAAAATCATATCCAGTTGCTTGAGTAACTACAAACATTTTTGGCAATTTTAGAAACGGTTAGATGTTAGCAGATCATTTGGTATCCAAGGTGTGGTAAATCACCCCAATAAAACACTATGTAGTACACTAGTGAATAACTCCATGAATCGGTCCTAACTATAGATGAGCTCTCTCTAACTAGGAGTCATCTATGACATTGTAGCCTCACCTAACAATACTACATGTATTTCTCACATTAACAGGTTCCCCTAAGAAGGACAGCTCCCCTCCCACGTCTCCCAAGAAGCCGCCCCCTCCCATGGAGAATGATGAGGACTTGATGCCGACCACAGTGTGTGGACATCTCCAGTTTATCTTCGCCTTGTTACAGAACAGCAGCCGCAGGTGACAGTCCTTACCATGCAGTTTATTTCTTCTTGTAAATTCTTCAGAAAAAAAAGAAAAATCTGTGCCATTGCATTGTAAGTTAGAGTAATGAACTTCACATTTTTGTAGGATGGTTGTGTATATCAACATTATAGATTCCATTCTTATCCACAGGTACATAGACCCATCAGCCTTTATTCAAAGTCTTGGTCTGGACACAGCTTTGCAACAGGTATGTGAAATCTCTGTTGTTAGATACTGACTTGGTACAAATTGAAAGAATTTGAAGAGGTTGTAATAAAAAGGAGGAAATTTATTACACGAGAAGTGCAGAAAAAATCTCAATACAAGATGGTGATCTGGAAAACAGATTGCAACAGAAAATAGAAGTACATTTGTACTGGACAAAATCTGCTGCATTGATGAGTTACAGTGTATGCTACATAATTCTTTTCTCATGAAGGATGCACAGGAGTTTTCCAAGCTACTGATGTCTCTACTCGAAGACAGCACCAGGTACCAGCCAAACCCCTGGGTCCGAGATATCATGCAACAGTTCAGAGGGCAATATGCTTATGTCACAAGGTGGGTACAGAATAGACAGCAGTCATGTCACATCCACGACAGCGTACACTGTTCATTGGCTGTACATGTATCATTACAGGTTTGCACAAGTATCTCTCATAACAGCATCTGCACAGTTCAAATCTTATGATCAGATATGGCTCATCGATACTAGTACGTTACTACTGAAATAAGTTTTGGGGTTTTGTAATGTTTGTTTTCTTTCTATTTCTCGGCAGGTGCAATCGTTGTTTCCAGGGGTCGTCTCGTCCGTCTCAGTTCTATGAGCTGGACCTGAACATCCAGGGACACACAGACCTGAACCAGTGTGTGGAGGAGTTCCTACAGGTAATGGCTTCATTTCATGCTGTTTCATTCTCTTACGTCTGTTTCTGTATCTCCATTCATTTGGTTAACCAATATTGTTGCCTTTTGAATTCTGCAACATACCTGAGTCAGCTTACAGATGTGCCCTACGTGGCAGAGACTGTCATTCTTGTATAGGTCTGTTCAGCCATAGCCAAAGCTGTAGGGCTGTGAACAATTAGGATTTTGCCATGTTCAATACTGACTGAAGGAGGCCACATTTTGTTGCCTTTATTATACTGAATTGTTGTCTCCTAATCCTTGAATAAAACAGTCCATTGTAAAACAGAGTGCATTAAAAATATGTCAATTGTTTTATTGTAACTACAGTTCAGATGCTGTGACCAGGCTCCTATCACAGCTGTTGTTTATATTTACAGGAGGAGAAAATGGAATAAAACAGTGCTTCATAAATTGCAATAAAAATTTCTCAAGTGGAATGCTTTTATTCTAACTACAGTTCAGATTCTGAGATCTGGCTCCTATCACAGCTGTTGTTGTTTGTATTTCCAGGAGGAGAAGCTGGAGGGGGATAACCAGTACTTCTGTAGCTTCTGTCAGAGTAAACAGAACGCAGCCCGTCTCATCAGCCTCATGTCCCTGCCTCGAGTTCTCAACCTGCAGTTACTGAGATTTGTTTTCGACAGGTAGGAACAAAATGATGAACATGCTAAAGGAAAAGAAGATGTTCATTATTCCTTCTTTATACATGTATGATATATGCATTTGTAAGAAGTAAAACGTTCTAGAGAGGTTAGATTTCTTAGCCTGCTGTATGTATTTTCTGATCATGTACCCAAATGTTTGGATGTACTAGAACACTAATGTCACTACTCATTTTCAATCAGGAATACTGGACACAAGAAGAAACTGAATAACTATGTGAGGTTCCCAGAAGTGCTGGACATGAGCAGGTACCTACGAAAACCAGGTCAGAAAACTTTTGCCTGCTGTATATGTATTATCAGTGTAAACATCTGCTAGGACAGTTTTGCTTGTGGACAAAGGGACAAATATTTTGCTCAATTTTCTTTTTAAAAAATTTGCTCCTGAAAATGCATGAATTAATGTTTCAGAAGGTTTGAAATTTAGATTGAAAAGTTTATGGCCTTGCCAGCAGTTGACTCAAAAGTCAGGCTAGGCCAGTAGGGTCAGTGGATTTTTGCAAGGGTCACTCGGAAAACCAGAATCACAACCTTTTTTCTTCTTTTCTTTCTTCTTTCTAACTCAATGTAACCTCTCTGGCTCTACTCTGCAGAAAACGAGGTTGTTTATGAGCTGCAGGCAGTTCTGATCCACCGCGGGCACAGCGCGTACAGCGGACACTACATCGCTCACATCAAGGACAGGGCCTCCAGCTGCTGGTACAAGTTCAACGACGAGGAGATACAGAAGATGGAGGGGAAGAAACTACAGCTGGGCTGTGAGGAAGACCTTGGTAAGACTTTCAATGTAGGAAACTTAAGTTAAAAAAGGTTTGTTGTAAACACCAAAGTGTTTTGATAAAAAGTATTCATCAGCCATGCATGACATTTAGTAAACTCAGTGACACAATGAGTTGATAACAATGTAGTGTGTGTATTAATACATGTGGGTACAGCTTGATAGAATTGTGGCCAGCACATTCCCCCTGTTGGGACAAGCAGCTGCTGTTCTGTATCTGTATTTCCAATATAACCGCCCTTTGGCGTAACACACCAGCTTCACAGGCATGCAGGGCGGCTACATTACACCGAACGACTTATTACTCCTAGTCTTTAAACATCTAACTCTAAACATTGTTTAAAGCTATCTAATAATAATGTCCCACTGTATTTGGTTGAGTTATAATGACATTTACTAAGGTTTTAATATTTTTTTTTCAATTTCAGAGGGAGGCCAGAAGCAGCCCAAGAAGCCCAAACTGCAGAAGGGAAGCCACGCCTCCAGAAATGCCTACATGTTAGTGTACAACAGGAGGTTGCCTGAAGGTGAGGTTTTCATTTCGTTTTATGACTTAGTTGAACTCTTGTCCCTGTTCTTCCTAGTTTGCATGTTTGTGGCATTCCTGTACATGGTGCATATATTTAGGTTGTATGAAAAGCAGAAGAGAGTCATGATCATTTTGCCTGCTGTTCCAGGTGAGATGATAGGTGCACCCCTGCCGGTGGAAACAGCCATTCCTGACAGACTGATGCAGATGGTTCACAGGGACAACCAGAAGTTTGAGGAGTGGGTCCGAGAAATGAAGGACATGAGGGTAGGTCTTACAACCAAACCAAGTTATTACATGTACTTCCTCATGCACAGAGAAATTACAAGCTTTGTATCTTCATGTACCAGCAAAATTGGTGATTCTTCCAAGTAGCAATCTTTTTACCTTAACAAATACACGTAGATGCGGTCGGTTTTGGGTGGGATACATCTCTGGGACTTGTGAAATTTTAAGCTTTTTTGCAAACTCATTTGGGTTATTTGATAGTTGTAAAAAAACATAATGCACACTGAAGAATTCATGATGGTTTCATAATATGTTCCCTACAGCAACAGAGTGTAGTGTCAGGGAAGGCCAGACATCAGGAGATCACAGAACTGTGTGAACTCATGCCTGCAGAGGAGGGTAAGTCTCTGGCATGTACTAAGGTACACAGTGTACTACTAATCTAATTCTAAACTGACTGGATCCATGAAGGTGTAGCTTTCCTCTACTGAGAATCTGAAAAATCTCCTATGGGGAAAGAAGTTACAGAAAATGTTCAATATGCATTAAATTCTCTTCAGTCATAAATTAACTTGATAAACCATTCCTACTTCCCAGGGGAAACATATGAGTGGATCAGTACTGACTGGCTGAGGGAGTGGCTGAGTGAATCCAACGCCCCTCGCAGTGTGGACAACTCCAAACTCACATGTACTCATGGCAGGTCAGTCAGTATGTGAGATACCGAAACATTTACCAAGTATGTGTCATTATGTGAATTTGGCAGTTTTGTTCTAAATCACTACAGAACCATTTTTAGGTCTTGAAACATTTAACTCAATCCACATTTTGATTCCTTCTAAAATGTTCCCCCTCCAGGGCAGACCCACACAAAGTGTCTGATATGAAGAGAATCAGCAAACAAGCCGTGAGTTGCTTTACTTTTGAATAAAAAATATCAATTTGTTCCAGTAAATCCTTACAATCATTAGAAATCAGTTTATGTCGAGAAATTAGTTGTTTTCAGATGCTTCTACATTAGAAAGGTATATGGCATCTGTTGTGTGTTGTTCAGTGATTCCTTCAGTAATTATGATCTACTTATACAAAGTATCTTTATGTATATTTGTACAGTAAAGTTACTTTTTGTTTACAGGCTGAGATGCTTTATTCTAAGTATGGTGGAGGGCCACACTTATCAGAGTGAGTAATTTTGAAATTTTACTTTTCATATACTCTCTCTAAAATTCTCTCTAAATATTATTAGCTTAAGAACTCTTCACCAGCTAAACGTTTGTTTTGTTATTGCTGCATATGCTAACACTACATTAATTTTATATTTGACCTGTAGTGATGCGTCCCTGTGTTGGGACTGTGTGAGACAGACCTGTGCCCAGCTACATGCCAAGGCTCGGGTGGCAGAGGACCACAAGTTCATCACCAGTACCAATAGAGAGAAGGTGGACAGGTCAGTTCCTAAAGACCTCAACATTCAAATGCTTCCTACAGTATATGTACATGTAAATGTCATTTCTTTGCTGATAAATTGTGAAACAAAATTGAATCCTTAAAGGCATTTTACTGGTATAAGTTTCAGCCGTGATTCTAAGCAACATTTCTTTCCTTGGAACAGGAACAAAGGCTACTGGGTAGGTAAAGAGTCCCTGAGAGTGTGGAGACAGCTGGCTATGGAGAAGCTGGCCCCGGACTCACAAGGACAGGGGAACGGGGAGAACGGCACTCAGGCAGACACCAGTGAACCCACATCCTCACAAGGTGCAAGCCTTTTTGTACTTCAAGTAATCTACTAGCTGAAAGAGTATTTGAGGTCTTTGATAGTTGCCAATACTATGATAGACTATTCCCTTTGCAGTGAGTTTGCCTTGGGTTGCTTTTGCATGGTAGCTTGAGTTTACAAGTACATCAGGTACGCTAGAGTGAGACATTAAGATGTGACAGTTCTCACTCTTCTTGACAATACTTGACAGATAGAAGCAGGTGTGAGGGTTACTCATCATAGAATTGTGTTACCCCAGTATGTAATGGTCTATCTAAACAGCAGCTGTTTAACAGTATATGATGTTTTGCAGGTACAAAGTCATCCCAAGGTAGTAACCATGGCAGTATGGAGAATGGAGATGATGACATCACAATTTTCAATGAGGACATCATCTGTGAACACAGTGAGTTATAAACTTTTAAAAATGTACCCAACTTCGTCACAAAGCAAGTCTCCAAAGCTTTCAGTTATTTTTTATTCAAACCTGAATAAAACAGATTAACATCTGTATTTTCTAGACCATCTCCTGCCAGATGAAAGCTGTCGAAGGCTGGTGTCTGAAGCTGTGTGGAGAAGACTGAAGGCCTACTTCACTACTGCACCAGAGTTCAGGGGCAACCAAAATGTCTGCCAGGCCTGTCTGGTAGGATTGGAGTTGTTCAGAATAAGGAAAAAACAGCTCACATGTCCTGTGGTGTGCACAGGAATTGATGATGTTGTAACTTCAGAGTAATTTGATGTAGAGTAACAACATAACCTAAGGTGCCGCTTGGTTGTCCCTCGTTGTTGATAACCTAAGCCCTGTAAAGTAAATGGAATGTTTATTGCAGGTTTCAGAACCTCCTGAAATAGCTGCTGTGTGCCTGTCTAGCAGCTTTTGTCACCTTGTCAGGGACACATTTGTAACTTTGGGCTGAGGATCTATATACCTGTAAAGCTTTATCTCATTGTGATCCTGTTTGTGTTTCTATAGCTGAAGGACAAAGAAGGGGAACAGAGAGAGGAGCTCCATAAGCTGATGGCAGCAGAACAAAAGTCTGCCCTGCTCCAGCTGTACCAGGACAAGAACAGGCCTGGCTGGGACAAGAAGGTAGGAACAACAAGTATACATAAGCTAGAACGATCTAGAAGAGTTACCAATATTGTAGGGTTATAACTATGATACTTCACAGGGCATTTGCATTCTTATTTGCATACTACTAATTCCAATAAGAAACTGTGATGTCTTTGTATAGAATGGATTGTCTCAGTCTGTTATTATCAATTCTATGCACATTATACACTTGCTATTTCTTACTCCCTTAAGTATTGGCTACAGGTCAGTGTTTGTGTTTCTTGTTCTCATAAACCTTTTTTTTTTATTTTTCCTGTTACAGCCAGTTCAAGAGTTTTACATAGTTAGCAAAGTCTTCGTGGAGGAATGGAGACAATTTGTCAAGTAAGTAGTAGTTAAGGATGAAATATTGAGATGCAGGTGTAGACGTTGCAACAGAGAAAAGAAGTTCAGTAAGTTCAGTAAGGGATAGTCAATCTTAGCCTAGTCTTACTAATATTTATATCTTACATTTTTCAGAACTGTTAGAAAGCTCACATGTTTTATCAACCCATTTTCACTTTTCTTGTAAATAGTCAAATAGAAAACTAAGGTTTCTTAACAGTGCCTAATGTGTCTCTTACAGGCAACCATTGAGATACGACCCAGTTAGTAACATAGGTAATGTGTCACTGCTATGTCCACACTTGGGCCTGCTGTACAGACCAGAACTTATAGGAACAGACCTTTCAAACCCGTAAGTACATAAGACAGACAAAAGTGCTTCTTCTTTTGATCACCCATTGATGAACAGTGATAAAAAAAGCTGTTACCAGGTCATTAATTTTATAGCATTGTTACATGTACTTATTGTGCTTACTGTGGAATGGGTGAAATCCTATGAGATGGACATTGTTCTTAGCATACCTCAATTATGTATATAAGTTTAGAATATAACACTGTGTGAAAGATAATTGTACTGTTTCCCCCAGTGGATTACTAGTGTGGCCAACAGAGTGGGCCGTCATCTCAAAGACATTCCTTGTGGACCATACCATTAGAGTTATTAGGGAGGATGAAGACAGGCTAGTGTCCAAGCCAGGTGAGGTCATAACCAAAAGAGCCAGGTAGAGTAACAGAGTGTTATCAGTCATCTTTCAGCATCAGTCATCACATAACTGAAAAGGGGATTGTAAAATTCTTTCTACAAAACCAAAGTACCTTCCAACATTTCAGTAAGTCTTCGGCCATCGTCCCTCAGGGCTAACAAAATATTGGCAGGTTCTCTAGAATTTGTTGTGTAGAAAGAACCCTAATAAGACTATTCATGGATGTAGGACATTAAATGTCCTACATTTTAACATGCATATGGCAGAAGCAGCCTAATCCTGTAACCAGTACAAGTTTCGTGTCATGATGCTGCTTTAGTATAAGGACACGTGTACCCCAGTATCCAAATTTCTGACTACGATGTTCCAAGTTTACAACATGACCTCTTCCCCAGCCCTGTGTGAGGAGTGCCTTGAAGCCCGAGTTCTCCAGGAGGACCAGGAGAGGCGGGAGTACTCCAGCGCCACGATCTACATCAGGAAGATCACCTCCAAGGAGGAGAAAATCGCCAGCCTGCAGCGAGCGGAGCTCAACTTGTCTTCGTCTGAGGAGGAAAATGATCCAGACTTCCAGCAGGTACGTCTTGATAATATATGGTCTTCTTCAGTCAATATTGAGCATGTAAAATCCTTTAAAAAATCAGCCCTTCAGTTCTGGTTATGGTTAAACAGTTCTATATGGGAATGACAGGTGCATCTTAAAGGTCTTTTAAACTATTGGGGATGGAAGAAAATCATGGCAGCCTGTACGATTTTTGCTGTTTTGTCTACAAGAACAAAAAGTGTAGTCAAACCTGTTCTAGTAACTACCTCTGCATGAGGGCTACTTTTGTGATGGTCACTTAGATTAATTTTCCCATTTATATTTTATAGATGAATACTGTGAAGAAGAGGAAGATAGCTAAGGAAATGTCGGCCATGAGCGCAGCTGCAGCCAGCATCAACCAGGTCCGGCGCAGTTCCCGCCACCGACGCACACGGGGCGAGAAACAGTTCACCATCTCATCTGGACAGACATTACGCGATCTCAAGATACAGGTAAGAGCTGATAGTTCAGCTGATAGTTGTACAAAGATTAGGTGTGGTCTGATATCCGTCATGTCTTTGGAGTAGACCAATAAAATGGATTGGAAAGTAAAAAATGTCTACTTAAGTATTGATTGGATTGTAATCACCTAGACATGTTTACTAATAGTTAAATCAGTGTGTTTGACTGTTCATGTATGTTCAAAACAATCTCTGAAGCCCAATTGTGTCTAGTTTCTAAAATAGGAGAAAGAATCTTTCTCATCTTCACATAGCAAAATGTATCTATCAAAGTACATGTATAAAACTTAAACTTTTCCTTCAGGTACATGCACTATCGTATTTTCAGTTGTTTGAAAACTAGTACTGCTATTTCTGTAGGTCATGAATGCCTTCTCGGTGGCTCCGTTTGACCAACACCTCATTTTGAACGGGCGCCCACTGGTGGACGACGTGGCCACCCTGGGCAGTCTGGACGTCCAGCCAGGCAGTGTTCTGCTCCTGAAAGTGGACGAACCGGTCGAGGACCCAATGTTGATTGAGGACTTCGCCAAAGGTTTGTCATTATTCAGTGATACATCAGCAAGCTTTTTTCATGTATAACTCAACTGCAGTACCGAAATTGTCCACAACAGTATGTATAGACACTTGAATCATTGTAAAGCCTAAGTCACAAATCAGAATCAACCTTTCGTGTCGAAGACCTTGAATTGATTGCCTTGTGATTTTGTTTCAGCAGCAAGCGTACCAGAGGAGGGATTTAAAGGTAAGATTCCTACTCAAACACATGCCATGTACATTGTGGCAATTGACAATTTGTCAATATTTTTATTGCAAGTGATAATAGTAAATAGATAAAGACTGACCTGAATGATCATGTATTAGTTTTCATTTAAAGATTGATAAGATTTTCTCTTTTTCTTTTTTATTCACAAATCCCACCCTCTTGTTACAGGAACTGGCTTATTGGGTGTAAGGTGAAATCTTTGAGAAGAGTAGCAAGTGTCCAGATGTGTCTGTCTTCGAGTCGTCAAGAGAGTCCAGATTTATTTTTCTATGGAAAGCCAAAGATACTATTAGTGACTTGGACTGTATACTTTTGTTCTTTCACCTGTAAATGCCATTCCATGTGTATGTTGTAGAGACTGTGAAGTAAGAGGACAGCCTTAAGATGTGACAGTAGATGATATGTTTATCGACATGACAAGAAGTAAAGAGATGCAAAGATGTTGGCTGTGACAGGTACAATGTATCCATAGTGTAATACTAGAAAGTTCATTTGTCTCTATTTTTTTACTATGCTGATGTGTTACCTTCTATTTAGTTTACATTTGAAAAATGCATTTTGTGTATACTTTGTAACCTTCATGTGTTATTCCATGGTGCTTGTGCAATTTGTGAATTGCAGTCCTGACTAGTCTTATTATATGTTTTCAAATGTTGCTGGAAAACTATAGAAACAGCATGTATTCCTACTTGTTAATGCTTCAAACTATTGTTTTGTAAGTTTGATCATCATTCTCATTACATATCTGTGGTATCCATAGCTGAGTGGTTACTAATAGTCTGGACACAGATTTGAGATGTCACAGGTTGAACTTCTGGTATTCCTGGCTAGACATTATGTCCACAGGAAAGGCATTTTAACATGCTTTTCCTCACCCCACCCAGGTGTAAATGGGCTCCCCATTTACTTCTCAAGTTGGGGAGGTAAAAAGGTGCACACGATGGAAGGAGAGGGATGGGCTCTGCCTTCCAATAGCATGCCCCTAGATACAATGAATCCACAGCCCATAACGCCTATGATTATAACTTTTTTAAGATTGTGTTTACTTTTATTGTATTCAAAGGCTAATGAGTTGTAGAATATGGAAATTCATCAGAAAGTTTGTCTCTATAACAAGCAGTATTGAGCCACACAATCTTTCACTGCCATAGATACATGTATGCGATACATAAGGCTCACTCATAAAGTTGTGGAAAAGGATGCTTTAGTAGTTTGTATTATCATTAGAGGTATGACATAAAAAGGGCTCGGCTGTGTCTTGATTGTTGCATATGACACAGAGACTGTGAAAAAAACAGTGCCACCAGCATTGTATGGTATTACCAGTACATGATTTAAAATAAGGCATTTGGATCCTAATACAGTTGAATGTGTGTAGGTGTATGTGGATACTTGACAACTTCTAAATTTAGTGAAAATCAAACCACAGCCAGAAATATGTATGACTGTAAATTTGTTACTTTATAATTAGAAAATACAAAGTGTATATTGTATCAGGTTGGCGATATAACAGAATTAATTTTCATAATCTATGTGAGGATCTATTCACAGCTTTTATGTAGTGTTTGTGTTTTATACTCTGTCAGTCTACCATTGCCTTGGTCATGATAGTAAGTAACATTTTCCTTTTTACATGACATACACACTGTGTAGATGTCACTTAAGAATCCATTATTATTTTGAGCCAGGATCCTAGATTACTACAGGACAATAGGTTCCTTATCACAGAATATATATTGAACAGTACTGGTCACCCCACTTGTTTTTGTCTCTACACACATTTAACTGAGTGTGGAATACACTGTACTAGTAGAAGAGGAGATAAGTTCAAAATAAACATTATTATGCCAATACTTCATGTGTGAGTGGGACATTTATGGGTCCTGTTGTATGTCTGAAGCTTATGTTAATTAACATAAAACGTCTGGTCAAGATGTGTGCCTAATTACATTTGTAGAGCAGTACTTCTTACTAACATCCCTGTCCCTGGTACTGAATGACATTCACCCTAACACTGCCATCCCTGTCCCTGGTACTGAATGACATTCACACTAACACTGCCATCCCTGTCCCTGGTACTGAATGACATTCACACTAACACTGTCATCCCTGTCCATGGTACTGAATGACATTCACCCTAACACTGCCATCCCTGTCCCTGGTGCTGAATGCCATTCACCCTAACACTGCCATCCCTGTCCCTAGTGCTGAATGGCATTCACACTGGCACTCCTTCCCCTGGATTTGTTTATTAAGTCCTGCGGTAGCCTTCCAGTATCACAGCCTACTGCCCCGTGGACACTTCAGGTTTAAGATGAATGACGTCAATTTACATTGCTGATAAAAAAGCTGTTAATTTCAATTTTTCAAAGTGACCTTGCGTCATCGATGTGTTACTAAGGCTACCACGTCAGGAATGTTTTGTTTTTCCCGTGATGTATCGTTGGTTCCGTTTATGCCTGAAAAGTCTTTTATGCACTTCGTGAAATATTCATGGCTTCTCTTTCGTCAGGGCGTTTCTTTTGTGTTCTGGCCTTTGTTCTGTCATCACCCGCCATATCATGTCATAAAGGTTTAACATTCCACCGGATTGGGAAGGCTTTAAACTGTAATCTGCCTTACAACCCAGGGGAGTTAACCAAGCAGCGTACCTAGCCCAAGGAGGAAGAGGTGTGTGTGAGTTGTTGGAAATGGTCCAAGACTCGGAGATTTGTAAACGAATGCAGTCTTCGTTGTTAACGAATCATACGGTTTGCTAACTTGTAATAAAGGAGGCATCGCTGTCCTGAAGGTTTTGGACGCGCGGACAAGGAAGCCTTCAGATCAGAGGGAGTTGTGAATCGTCGAATGCCGAGCTGAGATTGCGCTTGTATTTATCCAGGACTTCCGTGACTGTAACCTTTCCAGGACCGCTGATCGGAAACGAAAGACTCGTTAGGACTCATCTGCTATATATATAAACATTAGATGACCTTGCAGGCCAAAATGTAACTACGCTGCTGTCTACTTGGGCTTTTCGGAAGGTCGTGTTGTGGGTTGTCTAGTGGATCTTCTTGGAAGACGTCAGCTGCTCTTGGTGTGTTTTTCTGCCCCACGCCGTATTTTCTTGCCATCTGAAATTATAACGGATATCGTAGTCTTGATAGACCCATGCAATCAGGATGGCAATGATGAACAACTATCACCACTCTAAGATGGACGGTTCCTGGGTGTACGCGAACATCAGCGGCCCCGGTCCGGGACACCACAACACCATCAGCACGTCCACCCCGCACGTCCGGACCTTCTTCGACCTGTCTGCCCAGGCGCTGAGCGGGGCTGGAGCCGGGGAGATCATCCACTTCTCCCGCTACACCGGCAAGGTCGTCCTGGTGACCAACGTGGCGTCCGCCTGCTACCTCACCTCAAGGGAGTTCACGCAGGTACTGTAGCTTATGTCATGAGATAAACAGTAATCTCCAAGCGGATTTCGTGCGCAAGGGGAGCCTATATTGACCGCGCCTGTTAATTTTGGTCTCCTGTAAATATTAGTCGCCCCAATAATCTCCAAGCAGATTTTGTGGGGCAAGGTCAATGTATACAAACAGATAATATATACCCCTTGTCCCACTGAGAATCTGCTTGGAGATTAGAAAACTACGTACATTTCTAGGGGCAATTATTTACAGGTGATAGAAACTGTGAGATAAGTTCAATCTGTGGATTCTAGATAGTAATGATTGATCATTGATCCCTTTACATTAATTTTGTAATTTTCTATTGCATCAGTCCTTTCTGTTGGAATACGTTATACATGTATTAGCTCACGTCATTCTGTGCAATGTTGGAATAGGGATTCTTGTTTTATTGAATAAACTCTTCTATTGCAGCAGAATTTCCATCAATACATTGTTGCTGGTATCAAGTTTCAAGAGATGCAATCTGTACCGTAATACCACTTCTTGAAAGAAAGAAAAAACGCAGAAAACCTACACGGTTCGTGCCTGCATAATAACATGATACCCAGGCCAACCTAGAGTCATTAAATCGATATCACAGATAATGCAATGAGTGACCCTATTTCAATTATGGCTGTTGTAATGAATTATCTTTATGCATCTGGTGCTTCTTGCCATCAATTCACATGTCTTCATGTTTCCGTGTGAAAGCATGATCAATCAAAACGATCTTAGAATGACGTGAATGGATGCAAATGGGGTCGAGACCTTTAAGTGTCGTTCTTCAGCCAATTAAGTAGGACAAAGATTGTCATCCCTCGACTTTAAGGGTTACATGTAGAATTTCGAAAAAAAAAAACTACCGGTAACAAGTTTACCTTTTACATTGTGATAGCCACATATTTTTCTACCATGTCGTTCTTGACCGCTCCGAAGCCCCCAAATAGATGGACCCTTATCAATGTCGAGGCAAAAAAATCCGACGGTTCCTGACAAATTTTCTTTCACCTTTAATGACCTGACTGAAACCAATATAAACTGCACGCACCAACACATCAAACACATGAGTATTATATGCCATTGACTGTTTTCCTTCGGTTTAGTTCAAGGGTTTAGTTGTAGCATGTCTTCTGTACATGAACATTTCAACGTTATGCTTTTAAGGTGCACTATTGGTTTTAAGAAGTTGGCTTGGGTGGTAAAATAAACAAAAGCACAACACGCCCAAACGTGTAAAGTTCGTGCATTCCTGTGCCTTGCAGCTGAACAACCTGATGCACCTGTACGGCATACACGGCCTGGTCATCCTGGCGTTCTGTTGTAACCAGTTCGGACACAGCGAGCCGTTTGAGAACGACGAGATCGTCAAGTGTCTGAGATACGTGCGGCCCGGACCGCCTTTTCAGGTATGCAGTTTGTTTTCTACTTTAAAATAGTGTATGTTGTGATATTGTTGATGATTAGATAAGACAGCTGGCTGCTTTGGTAACTATGTAGACTGTTTTGATGTAGCTTGTGACTGGAGGTGGTTTTCTTTGCCCAGCCGCTGCTCGAACAGGTTTGACTGTATAGCTTCCTAATTGCTTTCGTCAGAAGGGCATGTTTTGGGTTGGCCATGGTGGAGTGGCTGTGGCGTGGGTCTGTATGTATATAAACGTCATGAATCAAGTAGTTGTTGATATTGATATCTTAATGATATTTGGTATGTGTGTAGCTGATATGGATACGAAGGTCAAGTTCAAAAATGGTCCACCTGGCTTTTTCAAACGATACTGTTGTCGGCTTTTTAATAATATGCATTTGTTTATTGTATGTGTTCAGCATAACTCGAGAAGCTGTGAATGGATCTTAATGATATTCTGTAGGTGGGTAGTGGTTATGGAAACAAAGTTCAAGTTCAAAAATAGTAGCACTTTGCATAATAAGCGTCTTCACATGGCGAAGGCATGTGTTCCCAGAACTCTAGTCATAAAAGGTGACTACTTAGTACCAGTACATGTATATAGAACATTTACTTCACCAGAAACTTTTTTTCAGTTTTTCTGACTTACGAGAATGTTGTCCGTCCGTCTTTAGCCGAGTTTCCAGTTGTTCGTGAAGTGCGACGTGAACGGTTCCCGGACCCACCGCGTGTTCGAGTTCCTGAAGGACAGGCTGCCCTACCCCAGCGATGACACCACCATGCTGGTGGCCGAGTCGTCAGACATCACGTGGAACCCAGTCAAAGTAAGTTCAAACGGTTTTTAATACATTGTACATAAGACACTCGAGCAATGGAGGTAACTAGGGAAACTTGTCTTGAGGGGGGATACAAACTTAGCCAAGTCTGGGATTGTGTTATCGCTGCAAAAGCGCCACCTACACCGGCTATACATAGCGACGAGAAGCAGTACTACAGTCGACAGAAGCTCTTAAGAAGATATCTGCTAGACATAGCATCGAAACGTAAGCAGGGTAAGACAATTCCTGGTTGTGCATAAAAATCCCAATATTGTACAGACCAGATGAAATTATTTTCAAATCTTACTTTCAGCGATCAATTGCAAAGCACATGACATTGTGTATGATATGCGACGTTGGTTACTCGTCGCTTTTTTTCAAGACCAACAACAGCTTGTTTAAGATATATATACGCGTATGATAACGACAGCGTCAACAGACACGTATGACCTTTTCCTTGCAGCGTAACGACATCACGTATAACTTTGAGAAGTTCCTGATTGGTCGAGACGGACAGCCGTACCGCCGCTACAGTTACAAGACTCCCCCCTCCCGACTGCACCAAGACATCAAGAGACTCCTGGGAATCCAGTAATGCACGTACAAATGTATCATGTTCCACATCATTTATATTATGGCACGTATAGTCATTGCCCTTTGCTTAAAATAAATCAATTTCTAGACCAGTCTGACCAGACATATTTCACTCTATGTTGAATATCTATAAAAGCAACGTCGAAAAGTCCAGATTTAGATCTTCTGTTTTCTTGTTTGTGACACGTGGTAGACAGTTGCGATGTGTGTGATGTACTCATAGACATTGCAGTAATTAAAAAGAAATTAATATCAGCTTTGTGTTTATTCTCCTCACGAGTACATAATAATCTGTGGCATGTATTTCTTCTATAGGTACGAAACCATAGTGATTCGTCCATGGTTCCAGGACCCCGTATGGGAGAGTCTGCCTTAGCCTGATGATCATCTCATCAGGCAGTTTACCCAGCCTTGTACACTTTGCTATGTGGTTGTTTCAAATATGGTGAGGTGCTTTGCATTGGCAGCTACTGTTTTATCTAAGAAAGCTTCCCTATTGGTGCAGAGACAGGTGTTGGGAAGTCGTTCATTTGCCAAAAGCTATCATCAGTTCCAAACTTACCATATCCTTAAAACCCACTATATAATGCAACTTGAAAATATAGATTTCTGAAAATGAATACAAGAAGGAATCATATGTTCCTGAACTGAATTTAATGAATCTTTGTTTAAATGCTTGACAAACAATATGGACTTTCCTGTAAGCTGAATGTTGATGAAAAAAAGTCAATGAAAGTGTCACAGTACAGATCGTCCAGTTTTATTAGCCTTACGTTTGTATTTGAACTAGGACAATTCAGAGATGGCTACAAGTTAGTCTATCAATACAAATGTACGCTCCTAGGTTTTATAATAGATTTTATTGCAACATCACAGGGCTCTTAGTCAATTTGGGTGATGAAAGTGTAACGTTACAGGGTGTTCAGACAGTTTTTAAAAAAAAAACCCATCCAACTGTGGCTTTATTAGATGGATGATCACTTGTGGTATGTCCATATACGTCAAGGGCTGTTTTCCATTTGTAGATATCAACAGTACGTTTGTGAATTTACTGTATAAACGACATGGGACTGTTATTGGCACACTACTTCTTAAAGTACTTTTAGTAGTGTTGACTAGACTTTACTGTACATACAAAGATAGAGATACAATCTTTTCGAACTTCCTTCAAGTTGATTCAATTATGGTGTTAATGGGGTGCTGTAGGTTTCCACTCTAATATAAAAAAACAGATGTAAATACACCAAATAAACTCACATTCTACTTTGAAATGCAGCCTGCATCATTTTTCTTTTCTATAAACTAGAGGGTAAGGCAAAATTGCAGTTTTCAAGTATACATGCCCATATATTCTTGTCATAATAAAATAATCAATATATATTCTTATGTTAGAGCCGTGTCAAAAATGGGCAGGAGAAATTTGATCAGAGAAAAACAACTACACATGTACAAGCATGTCATTAAGAATATATTACATTCAGAGTATATGATTATATCACATATTGTAGTTTTGAAAAGAATGTGTCCTCATGGCACAAGCTGCCCAACACATTTCTGAGTACCTCATTTCAATCACTACTGTGCCATTTCAAACCCAAGACTTTTTCTGATGAGGTAAGAAAAACTTCTGTCCTTCTCTCAAATACTTGTCATATCCAAAGCCCAGTTTGGCAATTACTGACTCTGTACAACAGTTTCTCTGCTTTTTCCACATTCGGACATTGTTTACAGTTGGTGGAATATGTGTCATAATCTAAGCAAAAGAAAAGTCAAGAAAGACTGAATGGTATCTGTGATGTTATGGATAAAAGTAATTGCTAACTTACCCTGTTTATACAAGTGTACAGGAACAACTGGTACAAACAAAAGATATAATGAGATGATTTATGCATATATCATTCAACACATGATTATTTTTTCTGGGCTATCAATGTTTGATGTATACATTCATATGATTCAAAAACTTGTCTGGGATCCTGTTACAGGACAGGCAATAGCCTCACTAATTCCTCTCATCTCTCATAACCAAAAAATTTTTTAAAACTCCAATCTCAAGTCAAACTGAACCTGATAATTAACAAATAGCTTTTGCATTTTCATTCCTTCTTGGTGTGGTTGGAAACGTTTGGAGTTAGATATCATTCAAACCAGAATGAGTTATTATAATCATTAGTACAACACTGTACTTTGTGTACTTTCTATAGTAATGTACATAATCTCCAGGTTCTAAATGTGGTCAGACAAGTCTAGCTACAAATGTTACCTTCATGTAGCACAATGGTGTCCATATACCCCCCTCCCCCTTATCTACTGTACAGACACTTTGTACATCATTGCTGTGCCATTGTTCTTAACACATATTTGACTGTATAGGCAAATGCAGCAAATCCTACGATTACAAAAATGTTGGCCAGAGTGCTGCCTATCATGCCTCCGTTAGCGCCGGCTGGGTCGGGGATGCCACCGTTGTCTTGTCTGGGATCTGCGGAGGAGTTCCCACTGCTGGCTGCCTCGTGTGCTCGGGTCAACTCGGCTTCTCTCTTGGCAAGATCTCTTCTTATCTCCTGTAGAAGGTAGAAAAAAAAGAGATATCTTAGAAAGAGAAAAATATCTTCTATTAACATCTGCATGATGGTGGTCCCACAAGATCTTAAACACATCCAAAACTGTGCAACATGTCCAACAAAAAATTATATATTTTGGAAGTTCATATGTGACCATAGTACAATACTGCACTTTACTCCAGCATAAGGGTACAGAAGGATCCAAATTACACACAGTAACAAAGAAGTACAGTCTGTTGTTGTGATGCGATAAGAAATGGCAAGGCACAAACCTCGGAAGTTTCTGGGAAGAGTTCACAAAACGTTCTGTCTTTCAGGTTGTATGGTCCACTCTGTAGAGCCAGTTGTCTCTTCTGAATTATGAAAAACACAAAGAAATTGATATTAAACTGTCACAATTACATAACAGAGTACAAGTTGAAACGTTGTATTATCTCAATGGAAAAATAATATTAACATACATGTATTTTAAAGGTACGGATAAAATTCCATGCAGTTGCTGGTATGCAAATGGTTATCTAAACCTTTTTGATTGTCTGTGAGGTTACCACAAAGGACTGTACTCACCACATAATCTGATGTGTTTATACTGCCAAGTGTTGGGGTTGTTTCCAACTGTAAAATGGAACAAAAGCAATGCTTATACATGTACCAAAGCAGGACTTAAATGCAAAATCAGTCTTCTAGAATTATTGAAACCCACAACATCCTTCAGGAGATCTTAAGGTATATTCAAACATTCAAACCTCAAAATCGGTAGGACAAGATCAAGATTTTAGCACAATCTTTAAGAAGGAAGAACAAAACAAGTTATGGACATGTACTACTCACCATGAAGCTAAGCAGACCAGTGAGTATGGTGGACACAGACCAGGCAGGGTTCCACGTGTCTGGGTGGAAGTCACTGATGGACAGGCACAACCTGGAGAGAGTGGGAAACAACCTTGTCATATCATATTGAATCATAATACCATGCTGGTTGCACGGATATGCATCACTCTCTTTCTCCCCCTCTCCGTGCTGTCCATAGCTCATCTCTAAGCAGATCCCTTTTGGTGGCAAGATAGTATCCATTAGCCAGAGGAGTGTCCATTAGCCACTGAAAGTGACGCGGTTGCCTAATGGCTCCTTCAATGGATACTGTCTTGCCACTGAAAGGGATCTTCTTGGAGATTACATAGCTCTAGGTCTTCTACAGTACAGCATGCATCCTCCCAGTTGATGTATGTAAATTATGAACAAGCATTTGTAGAGCAAGAACAGTGAAAACTACAGACGAAGTAGAGATGATAAAAGGAAACATGAACACACAACATATCAACCTACCTGGTATTACATTTAAAGCGTCCATTTTGGAGTCATCATGTAGATACTGGGGGACTTGAAAGGAAACTCCCTGGGGAACACAAGCTTCCCATGGTACTGTCCCCCTGCAATCAATAACAGTAAACATGACACGGAACTAAAAACACAGAAGGACACAGCAAAAATATTACATCATACAGGAACATAGTCCTGGTAACATATGGTGCAGTTCAATTTTAACTTGTATGATTCACATTTTAATATTAGTAAGTCTATACATGTAGTTTGTATGACTGCATTAAGAATATACTGAAAAATATTTACCTTCATATGGGGAGTTTTCTGGTCCTTTCACAACATAATGCCTGCGTAATGTGAAGGAAACAGCAATGCTTGTTAGGTCTTTCTAATGTTTGATAAACCATAACTTACATGTATCACTGTACATTTATACTTCCAGATGTACATGTATAGGTAACATCAACAGCAACTACTCTCAAGACCTATGGTAAAGTATGTCAAAATGCTATGTTTTGAAAATAAGCTAACACATGTTGAAGTACTGATAAGCTATTAATCACTGAAGTACTGACAATTCCAGTATATATTCTTTGCTCAATAAATGTAATACACATATTCTATATGTTATCACAGTGACTGTTCTTTGACATCAACTTTTGACAAGTACATGTACCTGGTATGTGTATTCTATAGCCCTAAAATTTTTTAGGGAGAGAGTATGGGAACCCCAGTATACAAATAGGATGGCACCCAGGCAAGAAGCTGCCATGATGATATGCTGGCACTGGTGTACGTGTACTGACCATTCCAGTATGTTAGATGGGAGGGGTGCTGCAGTGATGTAAGGCACAGGATCCTTCATCAGCCGCAGGTAGTCCTGCTTCAGCCGCTGGGTCGCTGTGGTGGGTGCTCTCCTCTGGGCCATCTCTCATACACTCCTTGACACAAGGATGCAGTGTGAATTGTGATCAAACCAACTATTGGTGATAAAGATATCTGACCTTCTAGCAACAGGGGGAAGTAGAGGAAACTTGTACTGTTGTAGTCACCTGTATAGCAGCCAACCGATGATGACATTTCCTGTAAAATCTCATAGTGGGTATATATGTAAGTAAATGAAGAACTCAAATGATCTTCTATCACATGTAATGTGACATGCACACTGATTTTAAACATTATTTCAGAAGATCCTGGAATATTCTTGGATTATTTAACCGTTATGATCATAGAAAAGATGGTTCACCCACTTGTTATTAAGGTTACTTGTGATATACATGTGCCATCTGTTTCAGGACTGATGAAATATCCTACCAAAACGCCATCGACGCAGTAATAGTTTCCAATGTTTGGCACGGTCATGTAGAGAGCATCTGAACATGAACTACACTTGTACATGCTTCATAGTAATCATACATGTACTACATGTACCTTGAACTTGAAGATACTTTGCTCATGTTATCACTTCATTTCGTTCTCACTTGGCAATCTCACTTGAGACATGTTAGGCTTTCCTCTACGATATCAACTTTAGACATCTAAACCTAAAGTATTAGCCCAAACTCTACAAGATCTTTACTTGAAGCGAAACTATGGCAGACAACCTCATCCAAACCTTCAGAAAATATGTCCGACATGGGATTGAGAAACACATAACAACAGACAATTAAACATGACAATCACAAAACTAGCTTACCACCGTACCCTGTGAAAACTCAAAGGTTCCCTACCTGCGATCAGCCGGCTTTAGTTTCCTATTGTTGCCAGGAAATGGACGAAAAACGTCCCAAATTCGGGAACTAATTTCGTCAGTGTTCAAGGTACTTTTTCTGATGACGTCACGTTTAATGATAAGCATGCGCAGACATTGGTAAGTACCATTAAGATGAGGGGGGGGGACAAAAAAATTACAATACAAAAATTCTTCAGTTTTTGCTGAAATAATTATGATTTTATTTGTAAGTAAGCCTTTGAAGAAGTAACTTAAACTTTTTATTGCATGATATTGATACAGAAATTTCCTCAACCTACGTTTAAAGTTGAATTTTGGTCCGTTTCTCTCCCCATTGAATGAATAGGCGAATCCAGGAAGTGTATTAGTTTCCAGATCAAGACGTGTGGGGACTTTGTTGATGTGTAAGTATACTGTGTTATTTCAGCCTCTTCAAATCAAACGACCCATTGTTAACAATCAAGAAAAACAGGACTATCTTGTGAGTTGTATGTGCAAATATTTCAACTGTAACGTATTTGTTTCAATGGAAAAACGCGGCATCATGTCACGAATAAACAACAGTATGGGGTCGTCTTGCACATTGGACCTGGGCTCCTTGATGTGGATAGCTCTAGGAGGGATCGCAGAATAATGAATTAATTTCAATACTCATACCTCAAGAATTGGGTATTTTTGTCCAAATGGAAGCTGGTAGAATATGTATTGCTGATGCAATTCTGATGACATTGTCATTAATACTTCTACTGGTGCTTTCAAATGCAAACTGCCTTCTGTTCAATTGACTTGTAAGTTGAATGTAACCATACTCTGTTCTACTGTTGTACAGCTGTGTGATGCTCCTCCGGTTGTGCCGCCGCCGGGTCCCCGCCCCTGCAGTTGTCATCCTCATCTTCATCCTCCTGTTCTTCGCCACCTTATACATGCTGAACTGCAACATGACATACGAACAGTACAAACTTCTGGAAAAGCAGAAGTCCATCAGAACTTCAGGTGGTCATTCTGAAGGAGATGGAAAAAACAGAGGCAACCAGGATACAGTCACTGCCAAAGAGTTTGAAGCATTTCTGGTGGTGCTTATAATGACGGGGCCCAAGTATGTTGAGAAAAGGAACACGATACGAGAAACTTGGTTTACGTACGGGGACGAAAACGTTCTGCAGAGGTTTGTTATAGGTACAGGGGCACTGGACGTGGATGCAAAGGCAGCACTAGAACAGGAAAACGAAGAGAATGGAGACTTGTTACTCATGCCAGACTTACAGGACTCTTATGATGCCCTTCCAAGGAAACTTCTCCTGATGTACAAGTGGTTGAATGACAACGTAGACTTCAAGTACGTCTTGAAGGGAGACGATGACACGTTTGCAAGAATAGATCTCATCAAAGAAGAACTGAAGGGAAAAAGCAGGCAAAGACTCTACTGGGGTTTCTTTAACGGAAGGGCAAGAGTAAAAAGACGGGGGCCATGGCAGGAAGGGGAGTGGGTTTTGTGTGACTATTATCTGCCCTATGCACTGGGGGGAGGTTATGTGTTGTCTGCAGACTTGGTCCAGTTTGTTGCCCAGAACATGGAGTGGCTGAAGATGTATCACAGTGAGGATGTGTCCCTGGGTACGTGGCTGGCACCACTGGAGGTCAGGAGAGAACATGACCCCAGGTGGGTTGGGCATATAGTTGGTTCTGATGAAGCGGTTATGCTACTATTAATGTTAGTCTGCACTATCTAGCATGTGTCCAGCCTCTTTATTAGCAGGCTCTATGACTGAAACTTTTTTCTTTTTATACCTGGGTTGTTGCCTGGTCCTACATACATGTAGATATGCCACACATTTGGAGAAAGGGTCCAGGAACTGCCTGTAGACTCGTATGCAGTCATATGTACGGTACTACCTGTATGTCATCTTGCTCATAACCATTATATCCAAAATCTGAGTGTATGTCCCATTCATTCTAAACATACATATCATAATTGTATTGCCATACCTGTGAATCTAATTGGTATTTGTTATGTTCAATCTAATCTATAACATTAGAGTCATTTAAATTTCCTTGTTCCCCAGGTTTGACACAGAGTACAAGTCTCGTGGCTGCAGTAATCAGTACCTGGTGACTCACAAGCAGTCAGAGGATCAGATGAGAGAGAAGCACCACCAGTTACAGAGCAGCGGCAGACTGTGTCACACAGAAGTACAGAACAGGATGTCCTACACGTATGACTGGAGCGGCCCACCGTCCAAGTGTTGTACCAGGAAAGAGGGAATACCGTAAAGGAGAGATTTTAGGATACTTTATGCTCCCCTCCAAACTAGCCTGGAGACCAGCTTTGTAAGCTTTAATCCATCAAGATAGCAGATGTGGGACTAAAGCTATCAAGGCTGGACTCTAGGCTACCTTTAATCAAAGTACTAGTGATTAAAAAAAGACTATCTTAAGTTGACAGAATTGTATTCACATGAAATGGTTTTCCTACTCCTTCCACTGTCTCGATACTGTTGTTGTAAAGGAAAGTCATGAAAGAGCATGGGATGTCTTCACTTTCCTGCAAACAAGGAGCATCTACTATTTAATTGTAATTTTCTCCTTCCTCAGTTATTTTCTCTTACTGTTGATCCACTGTGCAGGAAAAAGGGTGTTATGTTAATGACAATTGAGAAATTGACCTTTGTAGTATATTCAGCAGTGTTCTTTTCATATTCAGGTAGGTCTCAGGACAAAGAAATTATTTTAACTTCATAGTATATATAACATGAGACTAGGTCATTCTATGTGGGTCTCTCGCTCTCTTTCTAAAGAAGACTAATTGTATCATGTTTCTGTGCCACTATTCATGTGCCAAATAGTAGGCCCTGTTAGAAAAAAAGGCAAGGCCTATATGTATTATTCCCCCATGCAGAGCTATCCCACTACAATACATTAGACAATGAAAAGCAACCTGTAGGCAGGTTTGAGCTTGTCATGAATAAAGAATATTTCAAACTAAAGTTCCACGATCTCATACCTTTGCCAAATGATGTTAATCTTTATGACTGACAAATTATAAATTATTCCCCCTGATTATGCAAATGGCTCCTCATTTCCATAAACTTTATCAGTTAATCATATTCTTTATCAAAAGACAGTCTTATCTTAACAAAGAATGCCATTCCAGCATTTACTCATAAATTAGGCAAATGAGGTCCTTATTTGAATACGTTATGTTCAATGACCTTCATTTAACTTTCAAATACCCTAAGTATGAAATTCCAGGCAGTTACCATTGCTGAATTACATGAACATTTTTTCATTAATTAGGCAAATGAAGTATTAATTTACATAATTAATATCTGTCTGTGTTTCGTTCTCAATTACATATGCCACAAGCTTGAATTTTCCTATCATGTAGTGCAACTGATTTATAGAATATCCTCATTGATTATGCAAATTACATCTATATTTGCATAATTGTCACAAAATTATGTCAAGCACCACTGAAGCTACCTACACACCAAAAATCATGACGATCCGTCAACCGTTTCTTGATGTATCCTCGTTTGAATATTAAACAAATGCCCCTGCAGTTCCGGAGCAAGCCGCTAGGGGGTCCAAACTCACGTCACTTCTTCCCAGCATAAGAGCTACTTATCATTCAAATTTCATGACCCTAGCATGTCTAGGCCACGAGATATCAAAACCGAAATTTAAGCTGCAGTACCCTAAGACGCCACTGGGGGGCCCAAAATGTAATCATTTCCAGGTCTCATCATGACGTACCCACTTGCTTACCCAATGACCCGTAAACAATGGGTACGAAACTAACTATGGCCCATGTCTGCCTTTTGCTGTACGTGACGGTCCAAAGAACAGCAACCGTTGACGTGTACTTCAGGTATGCATGAAAATCACTATAGCATATACTTGTATGGTATCTAGAATAATGAATTCTATCTCCCTCAATCAATCCAGCCGCAAGCATCAGGGTAGGTGCATGGCGGCTGCAGACATGTCCCTCCAGGATATTTCTCCCTTAACAAACGAAAAAATATGCTGTATAAAACTCTGTTCATTTGAAATAGAACGGAAGAAGTGGCGTTGATACATATCTTGAAAGTTCATCTGTGTTGGTAGAAGTCATTATGAAGTAAGTTTAAACTGTAATTTCCAACACAACAAAAATTGGACTCACCCAAATTTTCGACTGTACAACTCCAGTCTTTTTCAAGGAATGAGCAATCCACCGCTTCCGTGACGTCACGCAGATAACACACGTGACTCCGTGAGCAGTGGATCATAGGTTGCAGAAAGTCTGTGGCGCCCCCCGTCTCTGTTGAGGGATGGCTGTAAAGCCCTGATGTAGATGGCCTCTTTAATCCCTCGTGCAAAAAAATCCGGTTCTGTGTCCAAGATTTTTACTTTGTCCAGTGAGACTGAATGTCCAGGGGATTCTATATGTATATGTTGTGAAACCTCAGAGGTAGTTGAGTTAGGTCGTTTGTGTTCTAGGAACCTAGCCTTGAGCGATCTTTCAGTCTCTCCGATATAGGTTTCCTTACATGGGCCCTTGGAATTCTGTCCTTGACACTGTATGTGGTGCACCACCCCACATTTGCTTTCTTTTGGTGTTTTGTCCTTGGTTTCTGCAACCTATGATCCACTGCTCACGGAGTCACGTGTGTTATCTGCGTGACGTCACGGAAGCGGTGGATTGCTCATTCCTTGAAAAAGACTGGAGTTGTACAGTCGAAAATTTGGGTGAGTCCAATTTTTGTTGTGTTGGAAATTACAGTTTAAACTTACTTCGCGTTGATACATGTAGTCGCCTTTACGCATCACATTGTTGCCGGAGGTAAGACTTAAGTTATGGTTTGTGGGCGAGCGTAATCGATACATGCAGGCATTCAGAACGCCTTTTGTACTTCTCTGTTTGTCTTGGTAAATTGGTTGACGAACTTGGGTGACGGAAACTCTGATGGAATGTATAAACTCCTGAAGTTTTAGTCACTCCGTCAACAGCATTAGCGTCTAGACGGTAAATGAATAGTTCATGATTTGAACTATGTAACAAATCTGTTATATATCAAATGCTATTGAGTGGTTCCAACATAGAAACCATGTTGTTGTTGTTTTTTCAGTCTGAATTATGACCTTTAGGTAGAAAGCAAACACCTGCGGAGGAATACGCATAAAAATGGAGTCATTGTGACGAGAAACTAGTCCAAATGAAGTATAAATTCTGTTCTAAGTAAAGTAGCCGCACATGAACACATGGGCACATGTCCTTAACGTCCCTTTGGTGGTACGGGCTGCAATTGATATTGTTATTGGTGCCACACATGAGATTTTAAGTTACCATGAGTGGACCGCGCAATGATACATTGTGTGCAAATCTATTTCCGTTTTGCCACACCTCTAGGTAACGATGATTGCACAAGTCTGATGCAACAATTCAACTTCAATTATATGTGTCAAAGTAGCAAGCGATTATTCTGTTGGCAGCAGTGAATCAAGACGAAGGTAAACTTTAATTTCTATCTAATACAAAGTCACAGTACACTATAAACTTTGGAGTTATCGTTCAGTATGTAATAGACCGCCATTAATGTTTTGTGTTCTCTCGAATCTGCAAGCTGTTTTTTTGTATCTTTAGTAGTAAGTTGGTCATCAGTTGTCGCCCAAAACAAACACTTAGCATGTGCGATTCCATGAGGTGTTCTAGAGCGTCTATAAAGTTGCATTAAGGACATCGAGAGGAAGACAAGAAATAATGAATTATATGTGATGCAAGATTTGTCATGCCACAAATTCATGCTGTGGAAAGACGTCCTAGCTTGTGTAAGCGTAATTGTAACAGAAACGGTATTCAGGCCAGAACGCCTCTATGTTCGAATTTGGACTGACTATTAACTTAGGTACCCAGAAACCCAGGTATTTCTTCTGTGTTTGGTTGCCAAGGAGGCTGAAACTTCATCCTGAGAATGAAACGGGCTTGTAAATGAAGAACAAGTCAAGTCGACAAGTCAAGTTGGCTTGTGCAGTTCTACATGTACACAGTAAATAGTCGAGCCCTCAGTTTTCGGCTTCGTTGGTGGGAAGAACCCCTCCCCCCATTCAAAATCCTGGCTACTGGCATGTGTTGAAAGAAGAACTTTGGAAAAGGAGATTCAAAGTCTATAGAAATCAACACGGATCGGGTACAAAATGACTACAAATATTACACCTATCAACCATTGAATCAATTCTTAGCCATGAACAATGTATGCGAATATGAAAGTGTGACTCATGACTTCCTGTTTTCGTACCTGACGGTCCAAATTACAAGGTAAAAAGTGACAGCGAAGCCTGGCAAAATGACCATGATTTTGCTGCGATATAATCGTACCCATATGGTGAGGGTTGATAGTAGCTAGCGCATGTTCTAAGTTTCTCATTGTCAATTTGTCGAGCTGGGTAACGGGCACACTGGTATATATTAGGTCCTCTGATAAAACTGGAGATCTAGATGGTTACATGTATATAAACGAAGTAATCACAGGAAATGATCCATGTGTTGTGCAGTGTTCCTACCCCATGAAAAAATAGCAGTTCTATATCTGCCGGCCATTATCTATGCTTGTAATAGAACGAACCGGTTGTATTTTTTTCTCTACGTTTCAGCGAAACACGTACAGGATTAAAATACGGTAAATAAGGAAGGTTCATTGGTAATACGTGTACGATGGCTAATTGAGTTTAAGTGTTACGAGTTAATGTGAGGCACTATACTACATTCTACAACATAGGTCGTGGTAGGGGATGATGGGAAAGTAAGGGAGTTTTTAGACAAGGTGTGAAGTATGGACAAGCTATCAAGGCTGGACTCTAGGCTACCTTTAATCAAAGTGATGAAAAAAAATATCTTAAGTTGACAGAATTGTATTTCCAAAAAATGGTTTTCCTACTCCTTTCAGTGTTTTGATACTGTTGTTGTAAAGGAAAGTCATGAAAGAGCATGGGATGTCTTCACTTTCCTGCAAACAAGGAGCATCTAATATTGATTGTCATTTTCTCCTTCCTCAGTTATTTTCTCTTACTGTTGATCCACTGTGCAGGAAAAAGGGTGTTATGTTAATGACAATTAAGAAAATGACCTTTGTAGTGTATTCAGCAGTGTTCTTTGGTTCGAACCAATAATGTTGGCTTCATTTGCAAGCGGTGGGTGGTGAAATAAAACAAATATGTTATTATATGGCTTTTTACGTTAGAACTTCTACTCTACAACTGTAGAACTCTAGAACTGTAATCTACAGTCACAATCAGGACTTCCAATTTAGGCTACTCAAACCCAAGTTGATTTGAAAGAAAGTTAAATGCACCAAATCAAGGCCCATGCCTTAGTGTATTTCTATCATTCATTAGTGTTGGCCATGGGGCTAGGCAGGTAGGCAGGTAGACCCGTAAACAATGGGTACGAAACTATGACCTATTGACTTCTTTTTGTCGTACGTGACGGTGCACAAAGTACAGCAACCGGTGACGTACGCCTTCAGGTATGCATGAAAGAACATGTTGCATACACATGTATGGTAACGAGTATAATGACTTCTTTCTTCGTTGATAACGATGAAATTGCAGTATAAATTTCTTCATTTAAAATTGAATGGAAGAAGTGGCGTTGATGCATGTAGTCGCCTTGACGCGTCCCTTAAACTTGCTTTTTGCAGGTTACCTAAAGCCATTGTTGCCGCAGGCTTTTGGGCGAGCGTGATGATGCATATGCAGGCATTCAGGGCGCCTTTTGTACTTTTCTGTTTGTCTGGTAAATTGGTTGACGGACTTGGGTGACGGAAACTCCTGAAGTAGTCATTACTCCGTCAACAGCATTAGCGTCCAGACGGTGAATGAATAGTTCATCATTTGAACATTATACTATGTAACAAATCTGTGTTATATAAAAAAACATACTGTCGTTCCAACATAGAAACAGCTGTTTTCTTCAGTATGAAATATAATCTTTAGGTAGAAACCAAACACTCGCGGAGGAATACGCAGATAAAAGGGAGTCATGGTGACGGGAAAACTAGTCCAAGTCTGGTCTGCTTTTTAGGCTTTGTTACAAGACAAACCTTGAAAAATAGATTCAAAGTCTAATGAAATCAACACGGATCAGGAACAAAATGAACACAAATGTAACACCTGTCTATTAGTCACAAATCCTTAACCATGAACAATGGGTGCGAAAATGAATGTGTGACTCATGACTTCCTGTTTTCGCATATGACGGTTCAAAGCACACGTACAGCAACTGTGAGAAGTAAAAAGTATGAGAGAGCCTGGTAAAATGACCCTAATTGTGCTGCGATGAAATCGTATCCGGTGCAGTTTGATTATAATTAGCGTAATATGTTCTCAGTTTCTCATTGCAAATTTTTCTTTCTGCCTACTAGCATATTAGGACCTCTGATAAAACCGAACATGCTGTCTTGTTTCAACGAAAGACAGCACACGTCTTGATAGCTCTAGAAGCATTCTAAATATTTCACAAAGTTACACCAATGGTTGTATAAACAAAGAAATCACAGGAAATGATCCATGTGTTGAATGGCAGTGTTTCTACACGATTAAAGAAAATAGGATTTCTGCCAGCCATTATCTATGCTTAGACCGAATCGGTTGTGTTTTTCTATATGTTTCAGCAAAACAGGATAAATAAGTACCCAACAATCATATTCACTACCTAAAAAATGGCTGTCCACATATTCTGAGTTCATATAAACATGTATTCACTCGTACATCCACAGAGTCCGGACTGACACTTAAATCAACATGGCAGCTAAGGACAAGCTACCTGCATATGGTACGTGTTCACATTGTGTATCAAACGCGATCAATGTGTGATTTGCTTTGTAAAAAAACCTTCTCAGTGCGTTGCTAGGAAAACGGTATAAGCTTAAGTCGCATGCATTAAAGCAGACAGTGCTTTTTTGTATGCTATAATAGTGTCTTAATACATGACAAAATAATGTAAGTAGCATCATTGATATACATACATGTACATGTTGGTTATTTATTTATGCACCTTGAGTTGAAAAGTCGCCCGTATGTCATGTTATGCTCTTTCACCCCACCAAAAACAATAATATGGAGGTTATCCGCTTGATAATGTTGACATATCAAGGTCAGCACAAACATGCACGCAAGTTAAGTATGCCTAAACAGTAATACCCCTTCCACACTAGAGACGGAAAGAGCCATCTGAATGAAATTCTTTGTATATTCCTGTGTATTCGAGTTGCATTCTGGAAATTCTCACTTCATTCTAGATATCTGTGCCCATTCGTGTACATGTGACCGACCCAAATGTTTTTGTCATGCTAAAACTTTCGAGGTGATTTTGAAGTGAAGAAATATTCAACAGCATTCAAAGTGATTCTGCATTTCAACAGCGTTAGAAACATTCTGATTATATCTAAATGAGAACCGATATACGCCTGAATATTTAGAATACAAGCCGAATTTCGAAGAACACACTTTAGCAAGTAGCCAGGAGTATACAAGCAATTTTGATTCCCTGGCGATCCCAGCTGACTCCGCCTCTAGTTTGAAAGGGATTAATGTGAACCAGGGTTTCCCGAATGTGGCTCAATTCTGTGTGAAGGGGCCTTTTTAGAGCACATTGTCAGTTTTAATTGCCATTTGTATGTGTAACTGCATGTATTTTGTTTCCCTAGAAATGCAAATGAGTTTGGAGCTGGGGTACAAGAATCCCAGCGCTGTGACGTCCAAGGCGGCAAGGCTTGATAAAAGGCTTCAACAGGCCAACAAAATCTTGGCAAATCTCTTACAAGACGCCGAGATTTGCCAGTCGGTAACAGAAGTCTTCCAAGACTTTGGTGCTCGACTGGGTGAAATGCACGACAGCGGCTGCAGCCGCGTCGTACATTTCGTCGATCGCGACGACCTTGTCGGTTTTCAGTGCATGTATCAGAAAGGGCTGCCAAAACAACTAGGCAAAACCCTGATCACCCCTGAAATCTCTTCAGCGGTCAATGGCGAAGAATTGGTACTGATCATCACAGTCAAGGAGGAGGACTTCGACAAAGGAATGACGTTCTTCGGTAAGGAAAGTTTTTATGTACATTTAGTACCAACATTGTAAATAAATTACAGTAGATAACCCAAAGGAACGCCCTCCGCACTGTCCAATTCTAGGCTAGCTAATGATCACGTCACCTTCACCAAGATGCACTAAAAAGTCATTTTCTGTCATATATTTTCAGATCATACGAATGGTGGCTTTACACTGGACAGCAGCAGTAATATTGGAGAAACTCCAAGTACTTCGGGGAAGCAAGGTAAGAGGGTGCCATTGTGCATGTCCTGTATGTTACAATTAAACCACTTCTACGTAGCTACAAGCTACGTAGCTAACACATGTATTGTCAAATTATCTGACGAGAATGAGAAGTAACGTGAGAGTGGTAAGAGCATACTATATAGCTGGTGAGTTTAAGGTAATACCGAAGTTTACCGGAGTTTAAGGTAATACCGAAGATCAAATCTCTATATTTAACTTATATTTGACTATTATACAAAGTATCTTTGGCTAAAATCTAGAAAAGAAAGCAATATCTTTATCGTTGTCTTAACTTGCATATCGAAACTAAACAATGAACCTTTTCCAGATGACAGCAGCTCACACCAATTCACCGCCACATCTTTTGACGATTCTTCTGACTCCGAGGGTGAAACTGATGCTGTTGACGGCGACGAAACAGGTAAGTTTCTGATGTCGTCCCATTAAGTTGTGTCTTGATGCAAACACAGCATTAGCCCATATCGAATACTAAATTGAGTAGATGTGCAAAAACTTCTATTGATGCGGTCCTGAATGTTTATCGATCCACTTTTACATGAAAACGCCGTTTGCAATACACACTTACATCTGCAGGTAGGTGTGGCCTACATGTGTATATTGCGAGTATATCGGATATTTTTTCATCAGCTTTGACATATTTACCACACCAGGTTTGAAGCTCTGCATTTAAGTGCGCGTTACATAGTCCAAATTGCGCAAACAAGTCTACTTCTTTAGAATCACAATCTTAGAAAACCTATAGTATACTACTAGTATATTTATTCTTGTTGCCTCACTGTGTATCTCTTACAAATATAATCATTGGCACAGAAATATGCCTTGGACTTAAATATTAAATTTATTAGGGGCATTGATTGATCGTCATTGCGATATGCAAGCGGATTAGTCAAAAGGGACCATTTGTTATTGCGTTTGCCTTGCCTTGGTGTTTTGTTTCTTTCTCCAACCTGAGCTGACACGTGTACGACAAACATCCTTTACCGTCTTTGTCACTGAAATGATACTTTCATGGTGTGCGCGAAAATGATTGGATAATATTGCTTTGTTGCTTTGTCAACCTGTAGTGCAATTGAACGAGGGCAATATTTGCACCCGCAGTAATTTCAACTGTTGAAAAATCACATGCTTCATTGAACATTTTTGTACTATCAGTGCAACAGAAGATACAGTGCGATAACTGTGAAAGGATCACTCGCACATCACGTCCTCTTCGCTGCATTGTGGGGCATTTCATCTGCAAGAGATGCTTCCTGCAGTACTACAAAAAGACAAACGAGAACGACCGATGTCCAGCCCTAGCCTGCAGGCAACCATTGTCAGCAACGTCCAGAACATCTGACCATTCGGCCACCGAGGATGTGTGGATCTTTGTCGATGATTCTAATATTTGGGTAGAGGGTAAAAAAGTGGCTGGCAGGGCTCGTAATTTTCCTAGGGTAGTTGAGGACCCCAGGGTTCGTATAGATACCGGAAAACTTGCCGACCTCATTGCCGAAGACCGCCATGTCGTTATGGGTACCCTGTATGGATCAGAGCCCCCTAAGATAGATTCAGTTTGGCGCAAAATCCGCGAAAGGGGGTGGCGGGTTCCACAACCAAAGAGGAAAAGCCGCATCACGGGAAGAGAAAAGGAGGTAGATGCCCAACTGGTCGCCGACGTTACCAGCCTGGCTTGTGAAACGCCCGAGACAAAACGTGGCATCATCAGCCTGGTTACCGGTGACGCGGACATGATGCCAGTCCTGCAGAAGATTTTGGAAAAGCCACCATGGATTGCAGAGATCTGGATGTGGGAGCATGCCATCTCAAAGAAGCTCAAGGACCTTCCCAAAATCTACCCAGGAAGAGTCAGAGTAGAATTCCTCGACCAGTATCTCCAGCGCTTAACCTACACCAATTACATCTTCACCATTAAGGAGATGCCAAGGATCAAGAAGTTACTCATCACGCAGGCAGTAGTACTGACGGAAGTGGAACGGATGTTTTTGCACAAGAACGAGAAATGGGTCAAGCAAGTAGAGCAGTCGTGTGGATGGCCATTTCAGTACAACTGGCTTTGTGAAAACGAGGATTTCACCCATGATCTACTTCTTGTGTTCCTTCGAGCCAAGAATCAAAGCGGCGAAGTCAGCTACCCTGATCTGGCACATGTCATGGAGGTCTTAGAGTCTAGGCCTGACCTCACCCGAGATGCTGCAAAGATTCTCACCTACCAGGCCTATCGCGGTCAGGTACCACAGGCAAACCAGATTCGTCTGTCCAACCGCTTCAGCACGTTAGATGGTATGTGTGATTCCCTGGACAAACTTTCGCATGACGATGATGAAGACCATTCAGACTTACTTGAGATCCAAGAATCCGACAATCCGACAACTGAAGGAACAGGAGAAGCAGCTGAAGGGCACGAGCTGCCATGGCATCTGCAAATGACAACACCAAATCTGCCACAAGCTAAATACTCCCAATACTGCTCCCGTAAATTCAACTGCATACACGGGAAGAAGTGCCACTACAGCCACACACCTGATGAGATGTCATTCTTCAAGCAGAGACCAATAGGCGCCCAGTACTACAAGACCAGGGCCTGCAACCGCTGGCCCAACTGCAACAGTAGGGATCACGACTGCAATTTTGCACACGGTGCGAAAGATGCGTGCTGCCTTAAATGTAACTCCAGGGGTCATTTTACTGACGACTGTCCGAAGTAGCTGTAATACGATGGTTGGAAACTACGTATACTCTGCAAGCAGAGGTTGGATGCGAAGACTGTCTTTGAAGAAGAGGCTGCAAAAGCCGCCACCGTCTCTCTCTACCATTTGTCTAACCATCCCATACCGTAAAATTTAACGTAATCATAGGCCGTAATTTTTTTTTGCTCAATTCAACGTAATCTCTCCGGGGATCCAGCAACAGCTCAGCTTCAAAGTTGAAATGTTCCCATCTGTTTAGAAAGGTCACTTTGGCATTTGACAAACGCAGTTAAGAAAGATACCAGCCCTTGCCACATAGAAGGTCTCAAAGCATTTCACGGATGTTGAAATGGTCATATTAGAGTTGCTATTAGATACAGAGACATACAATGTGATTGTTAGAGATGCTATTGTGTCAAAATCAAGAACTTACCACAAACTCAACCAAAATTGTTTACAATGTAAAATATAGTTTATTTGCTCCTGAATTCTTGGGTTGGAATTGTTTTACGATCACCTGCCAGCCACTTTACTACATTGTACCAACTGTTGATATAGATGTTACCACATATAGTATGAGGTGTATGGGAAATGGGATAAGGTGGAGGTGAATATCACAATATCCTTGTATTTTATTACATATAAGAATTCATAATTTGTATATTATCTTAATCAGGATTATAGCATCTAATTACTTGAAAAATTGTTCAGATAGAAACACATGTATTGTGTATATTACTATTTCAACTTTGGAGTTTCCTAAGCAAGACTACATCAAGGAATTCGAAGTTGATATCCATATGCCATGCTCAAATTGATTGCAGCCTGTGTTAGCATACATGAGTATGTGTACTTATATCTACCCTGGGGTGTGATCAATGCAAATACAGATAGGAAGGAAACAATAAGTATTACTTAGTACTGTGTCAAATAAATTCTTGTAACAGTCTATCTTTTCATCTTCAATTTACATTTTTTGAGCCCTCTTATGTTTTAGTATTGGAATGTCTATTTTTCCAGGTGTGGCCTTACATAGAGTTCAAGAAAGATACATGACTGTAGTCTGTATACATACATGTATAGATAATACTAAAAAAAACCTTCAAATATACTATGTAAAGATGATGGATGATGAAATGAATATTTTTAATAGTTTTTACATTAAACGAAATCTAACTGTATAAATGATTAAAAGGGATTATTCAATGGACTAGATTGGCCTTTCACACTATTCATGCTGTTCCTACAGAATTTTTTGAAATTCAAATTTGTCCTCAAATGTAAATAAAACTGTCTCACTACGTTATAACAGGAAATTATGATAGAACGTACAATTTGTATTGATTCTTCTGTATATTGACCATTATCAAGTAAGCTTTCGTCTTTTTGTACTGAAAACGGTAACTGAATGAAATTCACGTGATTTGACTGATTGGCTTATGCACTCTCTGTAATACACATAGAACCATAGCACCACCTTTTTAAGTACTACTATTAGTAGTGTAAAGTGAAACCTCTTTGTGCTAACCCTGATAAAGACATAGTTTGCAAAGTTTTGTTGATATTAGTTATGCTAGAAATTTATCTGTTATGATAAACTTAGACAAAGTTCTTTATCCTTGCTGAGCCATGGTGTCTTTCCACAAGAGAAGTTAAATCATTAAAGATGACTTGCTTTGTTTCAAGTACCTGACAATGTGTGAGTTTAAAGTCTTAAATGTTGACCAAGTTTTGTGCCCCACATACTGTTTCAGATTAGGTACAAAATGATACGTTGACAAATGTGATGAAAGCACTTCACAGTTACAAGGCAATCTACTATAGGCCAATGACAATGTTGAAGATGCTACAGTACAATGTGTAAACAGATCATGGTAAGACAAAATTTTTCACCAGGGAATGTTTTCATGGCATGTTTCTTGCATTTGTGTGTGTGTTTTACATCTGTGGGAAAATAAAATCTTGACAGGCTACTGTGGGGTTTGAAGCATTTAAAATGAATTTGTGTATAACAGAAGAGACTGTAAAATGGCTAAGTATTAGTATTTTGATTGATTTAAAGGAGGTATGAAGTATTACATATGTAATATTTAGGCAGGTGTGAGCCTCAAGGTCAAGAACAAGAGCGGGACACAAATGGACTAATTTAGTGCTATGTAATCATTTCATCATGATATATTTAAAACAGACAGTATAATAGACTGTCTACTTATCGCCAATCAATCATGAAAATATCAGAAAACATGATTGTCTAGATTAAACAAACAAGCCATAACTTTGATAGAATTGGTTCAAAAGAATGGCATTGATAAAGAACTGTATTTTGTAAATTTTGTGTGTTTTACATCTTTCAAATCATACCTATCATAGATCATATATATTCCAATTTTGAAGTCATAGGTCATAATATTCTATTCAATTATGGTCTCACAATGGTCCAGTGGAAAGGTGGCCTTAAGGGAATCTACAACCCTGCCACAAACAAGACAGCACAGGTCTGGAAGTTGTCCGTTCTACGGCCTCAGTCTGCCAGCTGCCTTGTTGGCCCTTCCAACCATCTCATACGGGTAGGGGATCTCCACAGCACTGGCTGCATCTAGGTCATCCATCTGGTCATCACAACATACAGACAGAACACTCAGTACATGTTAGAAGTGACACACATGTATAAGCAAGTTTTTTATGCAGGCACATTACTCAAGTTAGGGCATGACACAGAACCTGCACATGCAGCCAAGTGCAAGTCAAGTTGGACATATTTCTAGGTATCTATTACTGCCCCATGATGCCCTGTACTACATGTAGGTATTGTGCGTTTATGAGGAAGTTTGTTTACTGTACAGACACAATTGATTTCTATGCAAACACACATTTTAGCTATATCCTGCTAGTTACCAAGCCAATAAGTGTGATATATGCTACACAATAAACCAAATGAAATGTATGTACATGTTTTGTAAACAAAATGACCAAATATCAAACAACTTCCAGAAGCTAAGTTGTGTTGCATTTGTCCACCCATCTACATACATGTACGCTTTGTTGTCCAAAATACACTGAGCACATATTCATTCATTCATAGAAAGGGAGAAACTGTTTCTCCAAAGGAATAGAGTACTACACTAAGTGTACACTCCCCTACCTGCTGCTGCGTGAGCTCCCAGCCAGCTGCAGCCCCCATGTTGTCCTCCAGCTGCTGCAGAGTTTTCACCCCGATGATGACAGACGACACCACGTCCTTCTGCAGCAGCCAGCGGAGAGACACCTGGGCTACACTTTTACCGTGGGGGGGGGGGAGATCAAACACCTGAGGAATTACTAAAGTTGGAACAAAAAAGCAGATTGAACTGAATTGAAGATACAGTATACATGTGCATGTACATGTACACAGCATATAACTTACTAACAGTAGTAATGACACTTCATCATAGTCATACTCAATAGATAATAAGGATTGTTGTTGTCTAGTAGAGGAAATATACTTTTGTTATAAATATGACATTTAGCTATGATCTCTTACCGCATATTTTGCCATTAACGTAGAAGTAAAAAAACAGTATTGTACTATTCTATCTGTTCATTCATCAACACATACATCTATCTACATTTGTACTAGTTTATCACATGTGGCTGTAAAATTGAAGGCCATAATATAACTGCCCAATGATACGAAACTCTGTACCTTGCTCCTTTGCCACACGTTTTAAGACTTCGTCCAGGGCCCAGAACTTGTCGTTGTTAGCATACTGCTGGTAGTCAGGAGTAGCCTGATTCTTTCGTGCTGCCTTCTCCGAGGCCCAGCCCACGCGTGTGTCAGTGGGAACGGCAGTCATGTCACGGGTGAACTTTCCAGCCAGCCATCCTCTGAGGGGGGGGAGGTAGGTGCAGAATTTAACTAAAGGATTTATGCAGTATACGGTACATGTAACTGTTTTTGTTTAGTTTCTGAATATAGTCTATTTTGTCAATTATGTTAAGTTTGACCTCTACCTTCAACTTTAAGACAGGAATTTGTAGTCTTAAAGCTAGTGTTGTGTCTCAGAAAAAGAAGCCAATCTTAGTAGATTTAGGAGTTATCTTTGTGGCTATTGTTCTGTAATATTGTTATCAGTGTTTCTATCTTTTTGTTAAATGTTCTTATTGTTTTTTTTAGTTTCATTTAGTTCTCAGGCAAGATTTTGCACTAAACAATTCCTATAAAGTTGACTCACCCTTTAAGTGGGCTCCATGGCAACAAGCCCAGCCCCTCCCTCCTGCAGATCTCCATCAACTCCCACTCAGTAGACCTGCACAGCAGGTTGTACTGGGCCTGGATGGGAGACACAGGGGAAGAGGACCATTTTCTCTTACAAGCAATGAATGTAGACCTTGGGGTCATTGTCTAACATATACATGTACTTATGAAACATACTATAGTAAGATGCACCAGCAATCAGAGTCACTGTCCATGTCTTTATCTTCAATTATATATATATTTGTACACTTACTTTGACATACTAGAAAGGAAAACGAACCCTTGTTTTATGGTAACATTATGGTAAGGACCTTCATACAAGATGTTCAGATTCAGAGGACGAACCTGCAGAGTGATCCATTTGTTCAGCCCCATGGTCCTTCCGAGGTCCACAATCTTCTGTAGCTGCCAGCCCGTCACGTTACTCGCACCGATGTAACGTACCTTCCCAGCTCTCACCAGGTCATTCAGGGCTGTCATCATCTCCTCTAGGGGTGTACCATCATCCCAACAGTGGATCTGTGGTAGACATCACATTCATGGATAATTCTCCTGCATGCAGTACTCGAAGATTTCAATTATTCTTTAAGTATCATGCCAACATATTTTTTACTTTATATGAAATTTTTCTTAAATCAACTACAACCTGTTTCTTTTTATTCTTTTATACCTCTGGTTCTAAACTTTCTGAACAATTATCTAGGCTCAAAAAAAAGAAAAGTCACCCAGTGCTTTATAGTGAATCATTTTTTACTGATGTCATGTGACATTCAATGGACACAGTATTCTCCATTTCTTTTGATTGTATGTTTCCAAAAAAAAAACTTGATTGGTTGATTGATTTATATCTGCTAGCAATGCATTGCATACCTGGTAGAGATCCACATAATCAGTCTGTAGCCTTTTCAGACTTTTGTCAATGGAGTCCATAATGTGATGCCTGCTCAGTCCTAGCTGGTTAGGGTCCTTGTACGTAGGGTCCATGGGTCCACACACCTTTGTGGCAATGACAAATTTCTCCCGCTCTTTCCTAAACACAACAATGATACATGTAGTGTCATAATATATGCTTTTCTATTTATTATAGTACATGTACAATATCTAAAAGTATCATCACTTTCAATGTTCAATTGCTACACTAGTCTAGTGTACACAAGTTTTGTTGCTACGCTAGTCTAGAGTTCTGTGGATGAACCCACCAAGCAAGGTAACCATGGGCCAGCAAGGTCACACTTCAGCATGATCTTTAAATACTAGTAACTCACATGGACAGCCAACTGCCCACATATTCCTCAGACACCCCATACTGATAGACATCTGCTGTGTCTATGAAGTTCCCTCCCAGTTCAGCAAACCTGTCCATGATGGCGTGAGCTGTAGCCTCGTCACACTGCCCTGGTCGCCCATCCTGTACAGGCAATAAAAATCATGACACTTAACTATAACCTAAGTTTATTGTTTAAATTAAAAGAACCCCCATAATTTGATACATAGCACTTTACAAACGTGTTCCCATAACCTGCTTCTAGCGTAAGAAAAATAAATGAATAAAACATAGTTCAGGTCACTTAAACATGGGGCGATCTGGTAGTAAAAAGACGGGGCGAAAGTGACACGGGGCGAATCGACCTGTACCCCATGGGCAGCTAGGCCTTGAACTTTGATACTACATGTACGAGTAACTGTGTTAGACTTCGCGATAGCTACAGGTCGGTGACTACTGCTACGCCGCAAGTACTGTCGTTTCGGATATGATTTCTCAATAATTCTATGGAGTATGTCCTAAACTATCATTAACCTACCTGGTGTTCCCCAAAAGTCATGGCTCCAAGGCATATGTTAGACACTTTGAGTCCGCTACCGCCGAGAAATCGGTAAGTACACTTGCTGAGAGCCATCTTGAATGTCAAAGGTCACCAGCTGTCAGGAATGGTCGACTTAAAACTGACCAAAGGGGTTTACCAAACGTAACATGTGGAGGATTTCGAAAATAATACAAGGGGCAAGCACTTCTAGTGATAAGTCCGCCATCAACACTCTGTAGCTAAGATCGTATGTGTTTTATTTACCTGAATGGAAAGGTCACATTCCTTCTATACAATTACACGATTTCTAAATCACACCCCCCAATTAGTACGTAGTCTTGTCAGTTCAATGGGTTACTCGTCGAGTTCACGGGGCGTTTTCTTTACACAGCACAGTGTCCCTAAATAGACCAATTATTACATCCGCAGGGTGTCTGTCTATAACACAGAAACAAAATTCGGTTTAACACAGGCAGAATCGTATACATGAGATATACAAATGAAACACCACACTAGTCATGTAATACTGGAATTTAGTGGAAACAATGTGAATGTTTATTCAGCACCAAGGAGAGGCCTTGGTAACGTGTTACCGTTAGCGGGCCAGATATGGAACCATTTAGACAATTAGTAACATATTAAATCAAGCAGTGACGCTGCATAAAATCTCTCCATACACTGTGGTAAACGTTAGACGTGATAATGCGTAAGTTGCTTTTACCTCCATGAAAAATGGAGGTATTGTTTTAGTGTGTCTGTGTGTGCGTCTGTCTATGTTTGTTTGTGTGTGTTTGTGTTTCCGCACATTTGTAGTCAGCATAACTTCAGAATGCCTTAATGAATTGTGATGATATTTGGTTTGTTAGTAGGTCACAGGAAGGCAAAGGTCAAGGTCAAATTTGGGCCTCCTGGTGGCTGACCTTGGTACTGCAGCAGAACTTCCTGCTTTTGTATCTTTTGTCCTGAACATGCTATGGTCTTGGATTTTTGGTGACAAATAGCTTTTCCTGTCAGGAATAAGTGGTGTGGGTTTTGTCCCCCTAGAATCTTGTCCTGGAACTGCAGGGGAGTTTCTGGCGAAATCTTTTAAATCGGATAAGTCCAGAAAGGAACAACGTATTTTTATCATTTTGGTATGTAGGTACCTTATAGAGAGATATACATAATCAAATGTAAATTATGCAAATGAAGACTTAATTTGCATAGTTGAGGAGGAAATTCCGTGATTACAGTGTTTAACCGACTGTGACAATTACTAAAATAAATTGCTTGGTACATATGAGGGCTATTGTCCCTATAATAGAGATATCACATGTTGATATGTTGTATTGACATTAAGAGTTGTCATTTGTATGTACCTGTTATAATTCATAAGTACATGTATGGCACTAAAATGCATATAGCAAGTTAGACGAGTTAGATCTTTAGCTTCATATTATTTTAGCTCTTTCATAGCAAAAAGATTATAGCAAAGTCCAGTGTAAATATAATCATATTATCATGTTTAGCTTGTATGTAATGATTTCATCATAACCTATTCAAAACAGCTAGACTGTCTAATGATTGTTGATCTAAATTCAATTTTGGTCACTCAATGGTCTCCGTGATCCAGACAAGACTTCACAGACTAGGAAGGTGTTGTCCGTTCTACGGCCTCTGTCTGCCAGCTGCGGCACTCCGGACCCGCTCATACGGGTAGGGAATCTCCACAGCACTGGCCGCATCTAGGTCAGCCATCTGGTCATACAGACAACACTCAGTACACGTTACAAGTGACATACATGTATATGCAAGTTTCTTTTGTAAGCAGCCACATTAGAGCTGTATGTTGTAGCAAATTACCAAGCCCATACGTACATACATCAATACGTTCTACTGTAAAACGAAAGATTTACATGTACATGTATAACCAAACATCAAACAACATTCAGAAGCTAAGTTCACCTGTTGCATTTTTCTATCCATCTATATGCATGTGTCTGTCTGCAGCCTTCTGAGGCTCCCGTCGATGGAATTCAGAATATGATGTCTGCTGAGGCCACGCTTGTTTGGGTCCTGCTGAGTTGGATCCATGTTGTTCCATACCTTGGTGGCTATGATAAATTTATCCCTCTGTTTCCTATACAACATGTTTATATTTTTTATGTAGCATGTTGCAACATCCATCAAGTCAAGAAGATGTACAGTCTTCTTTATTATTTCAATCTTATTATTATTTTGCTGTTTTTATTTTAATGTAGAATTGTACAACAACCTTAGATAAGATAGGCGGTATGAATACTGGTACTGTCAACTATCTGAAAAAAAAATTAGATGCAAAATTAAAACAAAAACTATTTGGCTAAAATTGCTCATCTCTTACAGCTATACAAGTACATATCTGAAATGTATCATCACTTTCAATGCAAGTTTTACTGAAATTTGCTACACTAGAGTCCTGGGGCTTAGCCCACCAAGCAAGGTCGAAACTTCAGCATGATCTATAAATAACTCACATGGACAGCCAGCTGCCCCCATATTCCTCAGACACTCCATACTGATAGGCGTCTGCTGTGTCTATGAAGTTCCCTCCCAGCTCAGCAAACCTGTCCATGATGGCGTGAGCCGTAGCCTCGTCACACTGCCCTGGCCGCACATCCTGTAGCTGTTGCATGTATATGAAATAAAAACCATGACGACGAACTCGGCCAAGTTGATTGATTTCTTAATGGGTTCATTTGCTTGTTTCGTTGTGCACAGGCCTGATGAGCCGGAACGCAACGGATCAAGATTTTTTCAGGGGGAGGTGCCTCGAACTTGGGGGGGGGGGGTACAAAATGTCTATCACCCTTGTCTTGCGGCTGCTTTTCTCAACACAGCTTTCTGTAACCATTGGCATTGTGAGACAAGGCTGTTTAATTTTTGTTTCAAATCACAGATATCCATAACGATAATCGTCAATGGCCTACGTAACAAACAAAAACAAAGCTAAAACAATGGCGAACGAATGGACCACAGGAACGCTCTTACACCATGCACCATGGCCATACAACGTTTAATACACCTCTAAAGTACACCACACGGTATCACAAAGCAATCGTCTCCAAAAAAACGATTTTTCATGCTTGGAGAACTCTCATTTTACATGTCGGTAATTAACGTTAGACCAGATAGACCAGAAGACACGCCCCTTAACATGACATGTTTCATAAACCCAGGTAGACTTCGCTCAATGGTTTCCGTGATCCAGACAAGACAGCACAGGTCTGGAAATTGTTGTCCATTAACGCGATCTACGGCCTCTGTCTGCCAGTTGCCTTGTTGGCCCTCCAGACCAGCGAATACGGGTAGGGAATCTCCACAGCACTGGCCGCATCTAGGTCAGCCATCTGGTCATACAGACAACACTCAGTACACGTTACAAGTGACATACATGTATATGCATATTGTATGCAGCCACATCAGAGCTAAGCATCAGCAAATTACCAAGCCCATACGTACATACATCAATATGGTCCACTGTAAAACGAAAGGTTTACATGTACAGTACATGTATAACCAAACATCAAACAACATTCAGAAGCTAAGTTCACCTGTTGCATTTTTCTATCCATCTATATGCATGTATACTTTGTTATCTAAAGTACCAAGCACATGTAAAGTATACTGTTTCTCCAAAGGACTACGCTAAGCGTACAGTCCCTTACCTGCTGCTGCGTGAGCTCCCAGCCAGCTGCAGCCCCCATGTTGTCCTCCAGCTGCTGCAGAGTTTTCACCCCGATGATGACAGACGACACCACGTCCTTCTGCAGCAGCCAGCGGAGAGACACCTGGGCTACACTTTTACCTGGAGATGGAGATCAAACACATGTTCAGCCTCAGGTAGAAGAACTATTAAGGTTGGAAGAAATATTACTTGAATAAAGGCTACAGTATATAGTACACCATCACTCCTATCTCAACGTTTCAAGGATATTTGAAAGAGACAGATGACATCTCAACAGACACCTGGGAAGCTCACTAGCCAGGCTGAGGACAGAACGGCCTGGCACCGAGTTGTGCAGAATGGTGTTCTGGATGCAGGCAAGAGAAGGGGAGAAGCTGCAGCAGAGAAACGGAGTCTGCAAAAGGCTGCAGTGCAAACTGTACCCCTAACTACACAGCACACATGCAGTGTATGTAGCAGGGTTGGCAAAACCAAGGCCAGACTTTCAAGCCACACAAGAAGTCACCAGAGACGCGAAAATCGCCTGCTAGACTAAACTGCCATAGATAGTACAGCATATGTAACAAGTATGGGGACCTTTTAATGAGATTTTGCTATAGTCATACTCAACAGATCTAGATCTAGAAGTATTTTGTCATTGACAATGTATAATTGAAAAAATGGTTATATGTTTTATCTTTTTAACTGCTTTATTTGCTCATTCATCAACATATACATGTATCTAGTTTATCACACTTATTTGGCTGTGAAATTGAAGGCCATACTATAACTCTGCTCTGTCATATGAAACTCTGTACCTTGCTCCTTCGCCACACGTTTTAAGACTTCGTCCAGGGCCCAGAAATTTTCATTGTTAGCATACTGCTGGAAGTCAGGATCATCCTCCCCCTTTCGTCCCTCCTTCTCCGAGGCCCAGCCCACGCGTGTGCCAGCAGGAGCGGCCGTCATGTCACGGGTGAACTTTCCAGCCAGCCATCCTCTGGGAGGCAGGAGTAGGATTTGTCAATATGATTTGTTCTGTTTCGATAACAGAACTTCTGCTTTGACCTCTACCTTCTAAGGTAATACCCAGTCACAGGCAATTGAACTCCGAGACAGGAATCTAGTCAAACCTAGAACTTTTAGGAGCTTTGTGGCTATAGTGTGTAATACTGTTATCAGTGCTTCTATGTCTTTGTTCCATTTTGTACTATACGTAGCTCTTGGAGAAGAGGTCGCAATAAACAATTCTAAAACAATGAAGTTGACTGACCCTTTAAGTGGGCTCCATGGCAACAAGCCCAGCCCCTCACTCCTACAGATCTCCACCAACTCCCACTCAGTAGACCTGCACAGCAGGCTGTACTGGACCTGCATGGGGGACACAAAGGTGAAGAGGAACATTTTATCAAGGTGATGTACATTACAATTTTTGACATTCTGGAAGGGTAAATGTACTCTTGTCCACTGCTAACATATGGTAAGGATCTTCATACAAACTGTTCGATTCAGATTCAAAGGACAAACCTGTAGAGTGATCCATTTGTTCAGCCCCATGGTCCTTCCGAATTCCACGATCTTCTGTAGCTGCCAGCCCGTCACGTTACTCGCACCGATGTAGCGCACCTTCCCAGCTCGCACCAGGTCATTCAGGGCTGTCATGGTCTCCTCTAGGGGCGTACCATAATCCCAACAGTGGATCTGTGGTAGAAATAACATTCATGGATAATTCTCCTGTATGCAGTATCGAAGATTTCAATTATGATATTGATTGAAGTATCATGGCAACGTGATTTTTACTTGATATGAACTTTTTCTTTAATCAACTACAACCTTTTTATTTTTATTGCTTTATATATCCCTGGTTCCTTGTTGTGAACAATTTTGTGAACAATTATCTTCACTTTTGAAAATGAAAAAAGCCACACAATGTTTTACGGTGAATCGTCTTCTACTGATGTCATGATTTGGTGGTCTTCAGTGGACACAGTATGCTTCGTGTCTTTTCTTTTGATCGGATGTTTCTGAAAAAAAATTGATTTGTTTACTTTTCCAGCAATGCATTGCACACCTTTTAGAGATTTACATGTTACAGTCTGAAGTCATTTCAGACTTTTGTCAATGGAGTCCGTAATAAAAAAATTATTTAATGTGATGCCTGCTCAGTCTTAACTGGTTTGGGTCCTTGTATGTGGGGTCCATGGGTCCACACACCTTGCAATGGCAAATTTCTCCCGCTCTTTCCTAAACAAAAAGGATACATTTCCCTTTTCCTACATCTGTATTCATAACTAGCATGTTGGCACTTGTGTACGACACTGCATCACAGCCTTTGGTGTGATTTCTCATAATGTAAAAAAAGTCTTGAAACTCAAACTACAAGCTTAAGGAAATCTATTAAGTTTACAAGAAGCAGTCTTGTTGAGCCATGCCACCCAGCATGTGATACAGGATTGTGCCTTTAATGTTTAATATGCTTTTATAGCCTCTTCCCCCACCTGATAGAGATCCACATAATCTGTCTGCAGCCTTCTGAGGCTCCCGTCTATGGAATTCAGGATATGATGTCTGCTGAGGCCACGCTTGTTTGGGTCCTGCTGAGTTGGGTCCATGTTGTTCCATACCTTGGTGGCTATGATAAATTTATCCCTCTGTTTCCTATACAAATGTTTATGTTTTTTTATGTAGCATGTTGCAACAAACATCAAGTCAAGTCAAGAAGATGTATAGTCTTCTTTATTATTTCAATCTTATTATTATTTTGCTGTTTTATTTTAGAATTGTACAACAACCTTAGATAAATTGGGCGGTATGAATACTGGTACTGTCAACTATCTGAAAAAAAATTAGATGAAAAATTAAAAAAAACTATTTGGCTAAAATTGCTCATCTCTTACAGCTATACAAGTACATATCTGAAATGTATCATCACTTTCAATGCAAGTTTTACTGGAATTTGCTACAGTAGTGTCCACCAAGCAAGGTCTAAACTTCAGCATGATCTGTAAATAACTCACATGGACAGCCAGCTGCCCACATACTCCTCAGACACTCCATACTGATAGGCGTCTGCTGTGTCTATGAAGTTCCCTCCCAGCTCAGCAAACCTGTCCATGATGGCGTGAGCCGTAGCCTCGTCACACTGCCCTGGCCGCACATCCAGTAGCTGTTACATGTACATGAAATAAAAACATGACGACGGTCATGACTCGGCCAAGTTGATTGATTTCTAAATGGGTTAATTTGCTTGTTTCGTGGTGCACAGGCCTGATGAGCCGGAACGCAACGGATCGTGATGTTTTAGGGGGAGGGGCCTTGAACTTAGGGGGTGGGAGACAAAACTAAAACAATGGCGAACGAATGGACCACAGGAACGCTCTTACACCATGCACCATGGTCATACAACGTTTAATACCCCTCTAAAGTACATTACACGGTATCACAAAGCAATCGTCTCCAAAAAACGATTTGATTTTTTATGCTTGGAGAACTCTCATTTTACATGTCGGTAATTAACGTTAGACCAGATAGACCAGATGACACGCCCCTTAACGTGACATGGTTCATAAACCCAGGTAGACTTCGCTAAACTCAGATGATTATTGCTACCACATAAGTGCCATTTCGGATATGATTTCTCAATCATTCTATGTGGCACATCCTAAACTATCGTTAACCTACCTGGTGTTCCCCAAAAGTCATGGCTCCAAGGCATATGTTGGATACTTTGAGTCCGCTGCTGCTGAGAAATCGGTAAGTACACTTGCTGTCAGCCATCTTGAATGTTAAAGGTTTAAAGTACACTTGCTGACAGCCATCTTCAATGTCAAAGGTAAGTACACACATGAGGTCAAAGGTCAACAGCTGTCTACAAGGACTGGTCGACGTAAAGGAAACTAAAACAAAGGTGATTTTGAGACAAGGGAGAAACCCACATTTCTAGAGATATCCAAGTAGCTTTAAAGCTTTAAGATCATACTTGTTTTATTTTCCACAGTGGACAACTACATTTATTCTTTTTCCTACCATCGCATAAACCACCCCACCCCTAAAGTTAAAGTCAAAGTAGTCTTGTCTGTTTGGTCGTCAGTGCCAGTTTCTTTCCAAAGCACAATATCCCTGAACAGATCAAATGTTACATCGGATCCGCATGTTGCCTATAACAAAGAAACACAGTTAGGTTGAATATACAAGCATAATTACTTACTGAATTGAATATACAAATGAAATGCCGCACCCAATTATGTGCTGGAAGCAATGTGAATGCCATTCAGAACCAAGGAGAGGTTTTGGTAGCCAGGCAGACAGAGAACCTAGGAAAAGTGGTCTTTTTTTTACAAAAAGCATGGCGACAAGTCAAGATAGCCTCTACCAGGCTTCTTTTAGGGGCATGGACGGTAGAATTCTTCAAAAATAATTGGCCAGGATCCAGGAAGAAATAGAAAGGCCGACATTTGCTCAGGAGCAAACGTAGTACAGTATGGCTTCACCACATTCCTCATACCAAAAGTCCCCCTCCCACACAAATGGATTGTTCTTAAGTCACCCCTGTTCAAAATGTGAAATGTTCCGACAGTCTATACCCCCATGCAGCAATGGAATATTCCAATGCCCTTTGCTGTTGGAACACGTAGATTGACAGGATCCATGCCACCCTATATCTGCTTAGAGGCCAAGCCACTTTGTATCTGCTCGAAAATACTTGGTATCTGCTTGGAGATTACAGAGGTCATCAGGTCGTTTGGTTCCCAAAGTTGAATACGTTTAATGAAGTGGCAGGCGTAGAGTGAGAAACACAAAGAAAAATATTGTTTTTCATCTATATATATATGATATGAAGTGATACACATGTATAACTAAAAACATAACAGTTGGATACCGTTGGATACTACATGTAGTAGCTAATATCCTATACATCATTGGTAAGGACTTATATTTGCCTGATGCAAACTGTTGATTTTCAAGATTAAAAAAGTTTACGCCCCACATTGCAAGAAAGTGTGACAAACGTACTAAAAACAATTAAATGCAGCTGTCAATATGCTATAGCCTGAGCAGGTATTCAATGTACTAGTATTAATCCAATTAGTCCAGCACCCAATCAGCAAGAAGATTGCAACTACCCTACCAGCAGGTGTTCAATGTATTAATCCAATTAGTCCAGCACCCAATCAGCAACAAGATTACAACTGCCCTACCATCTTGAAAGCTTTATGCCTATTGGCTGTTGCTCTCTGCATTCCTTACTGATGAGTCATTGCTACGAGGTAAGTAAACTTCACTATTCGGCATAGATAACAGTCAAAAGTCCCAAATTATACAGGTTTAAGGGAGAGTATGCAAAAAAATTATAATGAATTGTTGTTGGTAGATATATAAAGCATACCTAGACCGAATTTCAGCTTCTAAACCCACGTTCTTAGAGACTAACGACAAAGAACAAGACCCCCTCCCCAAAAAGAATTCCACCCATTTTGCAATAGACTGCCCCATTGACCCTAAGTGACCCAGCCTCAGCTTACTGCTTGTTACACTTACAGGTTACACAGTAAACATACTAGTAATCTGTATCATAGATATATTTGTTTAGGGACTGTAATGTCTAGCTATTTCACTTCTTGTAGAAAGCTGTATTTCTTTATTGCACTATTATATATTTCTGTGTTATCATAGTTACTGCTGTGCAGTGCCACTGGTATTTTCTCATGTTCTACTGTGGTTCTTCTGAGGTATCTGTAAGTGAGAGATTGGGAACTAGTTTTGGCAAAAAATTTTTGAGGTTGATTGAGCTCTGTGAGGCTTAGACATAAAATTGCCGTGGCTTCAAAACTGCATCAATGGAAGTCATATGTAAAGTTGTCAAATCTTTGAATCGGATGCAGTTCATGTTTGCCATGCAAGAGGGACTCTTAGAACTGCCCTAAGCCAACTAGCCCTGGGGATAGAGTCCTGGGAGGTGTTTGGTCTGCTAGGTCCCAACGGTGCAGGGAAAACAACATAACAGCCATCATTACTGCTGACATGGCCCCCTCTTAGGGAAGGATAATGAAGGAATGGATGGATGGATGGATGGATGAGTGAGTGAGTGAGTGAGTGAGTGAGTGAGTGAGTGAGTGATGAGTGAATAGGCGCATGAAGGAAGAAGGGCTGTCAGAAAAAGTAGTCTGCTGATGTACAAACATTATGTACAATAAAACAACAGTGAATGGATTGCTCTGAATGAAGAAGAATGGTACAGAATGACAATAAATGAAAGGATGGATGGATGGATTTATTACATATTTGATAATTTTAGTAAGTGTATCGTTCCTCAAAGTAAAGGCGCGGTCACATGTCAAAATCCGGGGCCCGGCCGGGCAGTCGTACAGAACGAAAATTATGATATAAGACAGCAACACAAAAAAAAAGTTTTAGAAAAGTAACCATGAGCACTAGTTGTGTATACTCTTAATACAAATCATTTATTTTTCGTTCACACAAACAACCCGGCCGGGCCCCGGCTTGGAAATGTGATCGTGCCCTAACATGTGCAGACGTGTTCATCAAAGGAAGAGCAGAGAAAATCCACCAGGGGTAGACCTGGCACAAGTAGAGCGTGAAGTTAGTAAATTGTATATTAATTAATCTCAGCAGCATGTCTTCTCTGAATAATGTTTGATAAATGGGTGTGTCAGAGCTCAGTAAGTAAGGTCAATGTTTTGCAGGCTGCACAGATGCTACTGGATTTAAAAATGAGAAAACTACCCGGGGAATACTGGAAAGGGCAAGGGTGGATAGCAGCCCTCTTCCATATAATGTGGGTAAATTTGGTAGAAGGGACGGAGAACTGGGCCACAGTCATTGCTGTAGAAATCATGCTCGTCATTTCTCAGCCAAAAACATCTATTTCTCTTGAAATTGATTTTGTCAAGCTTAAGTAAATATATCTAAAAGAGTTATTCCAGGGAAAAAGTTAAATTGAAAACAGTTTACACAATAGGATGAACAAGAAATTATATACTATAAGACTTGATGACCACACAGCTGTTTGAGGATTAGCAGAAGAATTTTATCGTGTTTTCTAAAGCAGCATTATCATGAGTGACTTTAGTTGTGCAGCAGTACATCATGTATCTATAAAAGCAGTTATGCCCTTTTAAAAATGTATTTAATCCTAGGGATCACCATGATATTCAGTCATGCCCTTTAAACAGTATAATCTTGTATCCTGTTATTACCTCAGGAAAGTCCTTGTCCGTTTTATGGATCACTTGCCTCTATATTTTATGAACTCTCTCGGCTCCCTGGGTTCAAGTTCCCGCAGTTTGAATATTTCAGTGAAGAGCAGGCTATGCATAATCTGTAAGGTTCGTTCCACGTCTAACTGTGTTGCAACATTTGAGTGTGACGTATATTAGAGAGGGACTGAAGCTATTAAGCAACTTGGATATAACAACTCCCAAGATACCAGTACTCAAATTAGATTATTAAGTGAAGTAGAAGTACGACAGAGTGGTGCATGAATTGGATGTAATATCTAACTGGATCAGATGCAGCTGCTGAAAACATGGCTGAATGTTGTACATGTTGTTGACGAATGTATAATAAGCCAGAGTAAGGTAGCCTGAGGTTGGTAACCAGGCATAGCCTTCATGTAGTTCAACCTGCTTGGGAACAGCCATTTTGAATTTTGCAAGGCACACATTCTCTTGACTTGCTCAAGACATCGTCAACATCACATGCATCACCATTACATTATATTCTGTACGTAGGATGAAGTCATCCATACATATATTTAACTTTGTTAGATCTTTAGTTGTAAAAGACCATACAAAAGTCCCTGTACTTTTTGTTGTGTCAATAAAGAATATATTGATCCTGTGGTTAATCGTAAGCTTTCACTAGCTTACACTAGCTACATTCCCACTGCTGAATGGGCAATAAGAATCCCTAAAAGTTTGTCCCACCACATGTAGTAGACACATTATATATATCTTGTACTAAAGCCAATGACCCTTTCTCTGCCTGCCTGTGCCAGTCTTTCGACACAAAATATCAACACATTGTATTTTGCTTTTTATACCTAAATCAATACAGGCCTCGGCTGACAAAAGTTCCAGAAAGGTCAGAATGGAAGTCTCCATGCAGTAGTTGTATTGACAGGGTCTGATATATCGCATATGGGGTGTCGTAACCAGACATCAGAGGAGAGTGGTAAAAGTAAAGATATGACTCTTTATGAGGTAGGCAGGAAAGAAAAGCTTTCACATGAAACTTGAATGATGAACAGCTATAAACTTTATGCTCGACTGTAAATTTTGGCTATTTCATTCTTCATGACACAGCAGTTACCATCCAACTGTATCTCATACATGTAGGACATTGATACTGGGATGTGGGACATGGCTACACTATCTTAGTCTGGTTAGTAGGGCTAAGAAAATTATTGGTGGGCAAATCACCCAACTACATTGTATACTTGCCTCTTTTTTTCTACAACTCGCAGACTGAGACATCATGGCGACTGCTCATATAGTGGGCCGAGAATGCCTAATCTTCCATGTGATATATGCAATATCATGAATGTCCCTGGTTGCTCATGTTATGATGTGAAAACTCAGTTATGTTGTTATGTTTGAAACTGCTTTATTGAGTCCCTGGAGATAGAGGAACATACCAAGAAGAGAAGTTTAGCTTTATGCGGTGGTACCAAGAGAAAGATTACACTCTATAATTATATTCCATTTCCAAACCTTATTGCCATATGAATTTTCACTTGCTATAATTATATTCCATGTCCAAACCTTATTGCCATATGAACTTGCTTAGTAGATAAAA